CGCCGAAATGTAAGCGGATTGCCGCTTGTGTGGTTGTGCTGCCGCGCGGCGAAGATGTGTTTGTGTCACCGCTTTTCCTTGCCGCACCGCATGTGTGCATCCGGCTTATCTCTTCGCGAGACTTTTCGGTTTACCGGCCGTTATATTGGCCTACGAGGAAAGTATGGCGACTGGTCGAAAATGATCCTCTCAGATTTTGACATTTTTGGACTGGCGGCATCTAGAAACGTCGAGAAAAGTTTGGGGGATTTTTCTGTATGTATGGATGTTAGTGCGCCCGGGGTGGCACGATTTTTCCTCGTTCTTTCGAGCTTTATAACTCGTCCCTTTTATCGAAAATCTCTGAAATTTTGCGGGGAAGTTTGTGAATTTGGGGCATTGTTGCTATTAAATTTTGGTGGCCGAAGGTCAAGGTTAAAGGTGGGGAGATAGATAAGGGGTAGCGTGTCGTATCTCCAGGAGGTCGAACTTAATGAAGATTTTACTCGTTAGCACTTACAAATTTTTTAATGTAACTTCGAAATTAAGCTTTGTGATTTTTATAATTAATAATAATATAAAAAGTTTTAAAAAATAATCTCGTAATAGATGGCGGCACGCGTAATTTTAACTTTATTGCCGGGAAAGTTAGGCAACTCGTTGCTATATATATTTAAAGTAAAAAGTTAACGGGGGATTTAATGTCATCCCATAATAGTAAATCTTTCCGCCGTCATTTTGCCAAACAGTAGAGAACGCGCACGTAAATTAACCCGGAATAATAATAATAAAAAAGCTGTATCGCTCTTAACGAAAACCCCGATATTACGCTACGATCTTCGGAACGTCTGTTTTATAATAGATTTGTCGGGAGATTTCGAAGAGAGAAATGCAGGCGTAGACAAAGATAGTCTGCTAATAATGGAAACCGTTTCTAGTTACAGATAATTTTTCAAATCCGAGTAGTGTCTGGTATTAAACTCGAATTATTTCGGAACGGTATCGGGTGGGTGGGGCGTTATACCCAATCCTTCAGCCTTAAAGGGTGGCCCAGAAATAAGTGGAAAGATTTTGTGTTTTCCGCTTTAATATTTCAATGTTTTATCGTTTGACTGTAGGGGTGGACGAAGGATCCGACGGTTTTTCATCGAAATGTGTTTAAAACAAACGAATTTAAACGGCTCGGACGGAATTTCATTCTATGATCGATGGACGGAACCCGAAAAGGATCAAATTCTATATCTTAATCGCTTTGTAAAAAAATTATCATTAAAAATGGTTTAATAATAAAAAAGAGATAACGGGCGATTATAGGCTAGCTTAAAAGTTGGGCTAAAATCGAAGGATCGTCGAACCGCCAAGTTAAAGGTGACTGCGATTCCATGGCTACTACCGGGCGTAGCGATACAACGGAGTTAGTTACTGTGGCGAATAAGGCGGCGGCGGTAATCTTGTCTTTTTACGTTATAACGAGGAGAAAGTGAAACGTTAAGTAACCCGAAACGAACTTTAATTCGTCGATAATCGGATGGTTTAAATTAGTTTTTTTATCGGCGATCGAAGGACGGTTTGAAGTGGTTAAATACATACGGGGTCGGTGCGTCACGATCGTAGTTCACTCGGCCTATCGCGGTGTTTCGACACGCGAAGAAACACGTGAAGACACACGTGAAATTATTGCGTCGCCTCCGAGTGTCTTCGCCCGCAAATACTTTTATTATTATTATTTTAATGGAATAACGTTACGTCGGTTGTTATTAGAAGAAAGTCAAAATAAAAATGTAAATCGCTTGGCTTAATGCAGTCCGAGGAGATTTCAAAAAATCTCTAGTTTTGAATGGTAAGAGTGAATTCCGATAATGAACGAAAGAGACGAGGAATTTGCCACGGAGACCATCGAAGCGCTATCGCATCGGTGGTCTCCGTGGCAAATTCCTCGTCTTTTTCGTTTACCTATCGGAGGAGGAAAGAAAAAAAATCGCGTACGACGTTTTATTCCGCGTAAACATTTACGCGTAGGTGTAATTATCCGATACGTAAACATCCTTCTTTCGACGAATGTCGAAACCACATCACTTATAAATCGAAAGTTTACAGTAGAGGAATCGGTTTATAATCGTCGAAGGATCGTTATAAGAATTCGTTGGCATCTACCTATACGAAGTAAACAGTGATCCGTGTTTAAACAATGTACAGTTAAAGATTATGCAGACATAGTAAAAATGATTACCTTACATAATATAGGCTGTATATATTTGTAAAGGAAGTATATACACCGTTGGTTTTAGTTTATTATATAATATATAAAACGGCGCAAAGTAATACCACGGTTCTAATCTGTACTTATAATACGAACCGTAAATTCGCGATAGGCTGTTCGTTACGAAACTGTCGTCGGTAAAGGAAAGGGATCTGTCCGTAATCGACGGTTCCTAAAAGATAACTCCGCCGAATTTTTCGGACACGGGAAATGGGCAAAATTCTCTTTGCTCGCTGCTTATTAGCGCGAGACTGGGCGAAAAGATTAGTAACGCTCTTGACAGTTGCGTATAACACTGGCGTCGTAGGTCTACTCCGGCATTTTCGGCCATACGTAACTCGACATTTAACAGTTTACGGCATAATCGTATCCTTCGGTTAATGTAAACTGTTTTGCCAATTATCGCCGTGACGACAATGGCACGAACCGGACCAGAATCGTAAACAATGGAGGTGGAGATACTAACGCCTACTGCGTAATTCCGGTGGCAAAGTGTCAAAATTCCATTTATTCTTTCGTTTCCGTGGGTTTTTTCGGCATCGCGCTATAAATCGTAACCATTCTTACACTACTGTGTTGTAAGTCGCTTAGAAAAGAAAGATGCCGTTGATGATTCGTATAAAACGCTAACGTATTTTTACAAATGAAATAACGTCGCGCGTTGCTTTAAGGTCAAAACTGCCTTTCGTCGCGCCGCGGACGACCGGAAAATCGAGTTAATAGATTAGCAGATTATGGGTTTCAGATAACGGACGTATTGCGAAACAAAATAGTTTATCTCGATAAGTCCATCGTCCCCGTTAAATTAATAGCGAATCCTCTCGTACCAAATATCCAAACGCCGCCGTTAAGTAGGTTACCGTGTCCTCCAATACGTTGGTCTTAAGGAGGTGAGGTGCAGGAAATTTATTTCGCAAATTAGAGGCAATCTGTCCGCGGTTTGGGTTACAAGGACGATGACTGTACTTTGAAGCCCGGCGACGAACTTCAAACAGTTCATAAAGAACGAGTAAATTTCGTTCTGACCAATAGCAAACCCTGTCCAAAGATTCGACGTATTGCAATTACTTTGTTCTTTTTTCTAGTTTAGTAACGGTCTTGGCCCCTCGTTTCTATTTTTTACTCGACTTATCCGCGTATTTTCACTTCCTCGGCTGTTGTATATATAACGGGGGGGAGTATGGCCGCCGGTCGAAAGTCATCCCCGAAATTTTTACGTTTTTGGACTCGGGAAAGAAATTTGCCGGTTTCTTCCGCCTGTACGGACGTTCGTGCTCCCCGTACTATTTTCTTCGTCCCCCGGGAGCTTTACTCCCCCGCCCTTTGTGGAAAATTCTCAGATTTTTCGCGGAGATTGGGATATTAGGAGGATCGATGCCATTAAATTTCGGAGGTTAAAGGTCGAGGAACGTCGCGCGTCGTATCCGGAGCGAGTCGGATTTAACGTAGATAGTACTGGTTATTAGCATTTATAATAAATTTTTTTTCTTATAAAACTTATCTCTACCCTGAAAATTAACTTTTTTGCCGGGAAAGTTAGGCAACTCGCCGGATTTTCCGTACGGTGTTTACTTTGCCTTTTAAGCCCGGTTGCGATTCGTCCGTGGAGCTTTTATCACGAACGTATACACACAAATTGCGAAAAGGAGGGGGGAGGGGAAAGCTCGACCCTTCCCCTTCTTTTCGGCGTGGACTCTGTTTATTTCATTACATTTTACGCATTTGATTACATTTATTCCAAAATTTCTCGTACGTTTCATTTCTTCTTACTGTATCTTTCCTCGGTAAGGCGATAAAGGACTTAAGGGTCGAGTTTCGTCGGACGTCCGAAGAGAGGAGGGAGAGTAAAAATTTCCAGAAAAATGCCGACGTCATTTATGGACGGCCTCTAAGGATACTGACGGAGACGCGTTTCGGTTGGAAAGTATGCGAGACACCAGGTTATCCTCCAGCCAAACTCGAATTTTGTAAAAAATCAGTTGAAGATTGTAAAGTAGAATAAGTGTAGATTAATAAGGGAAAGCTTGTACAAATGTAGCTTTTAATCTTACAATTGTGTGGTCCTTTTCCATTGATTTTAGGAAGATTGCAAACTACAATTGCATTTATTTTATTATTATTTTAACGTCGTCTTCTGTTTCGGGAAACATTATTAAATATGCATCACTCTTCGGTTTAAAGTGGACGGGATTAATTTCGGAGTCAGCGAATCAAAGCAATCTCCTCGTTAATCTTAACAATACTTTATTATTATCTGCTCGAATTTAATACATTTTCCCGGTTTATTTACGTACACTGGTGTAATTTATTTACATTTACTTGCTCGGACGAAAAGTACGATAAATCTATATCCAGTCGTCGCTTATAACTCTTATACAGTACTTTATTAACGGGCGCGCGTTAAGATAGGGAATCCCCTATTCATTCCGTCTGTGGCACGCGTAAGGGTGCGACTATGCAGACGCGAATTTAGTAGCGAGCGAAATAGTTCTCGCAAAGGAAAACTATGCACAAGCGAGAAGCGAGAAATATCGCTGGCGAGTTTCTGGTTCTCGCACATATCTGACAGGGTTTGATATTTATCGCGTCTTGCCTCTTCTCGCTCGCTCGCGTCTGCATAGTCGCGCCCTAAGGGTGACTTTCTTTCCGGATATACGCTCCCAAAAATTGAAACCGGTGATGGGAAAACAAAGGCTGGAGATTTTCTATCCTGTCCCAACCCAACCTACGTTTTAATAATCGTTTCCATGCTTTTTTGCAGGTGCAAGCATTACTTTTGCGAGAAATGCGCGTTGCAGCACTACAAGAAATCCAAAAGGTGTTTCGTGTGCAGTAAACAGACCATGGGCATTTTCAACCCGGCCAAAGGTAACCCACCGATTTCCTACCGTTTATTTTTTGCCATTTAATCGGTTACCGATCCGATACCCTCGGTAGGGAGTTAATTACGTCGATGGAACCGGACTTCCGGTCGGCGAGAAAGGAAGCTCTTTGACGTATCTTCCGTTTTAAAGAATCGATCGGTGGAGTTCCGGAGGGATCGCCCTTCCTCCTCGGGTTTAAATCCGTCCCGTCTGTGGTTACGGTAAACTTCGTAAAGGGCGCGCGGCGTTTTTCACCCAAACTCGGCGGGAAAAGATAGCGGTAATATTTGGAAAAATGCCACGTGCGGGGCGGGACGACGGACGCAACCACCGGGTCTTGACGCGATTTTCGGATAAGCCGCTTCCGGTTTCGAAAGAGAGAAGTGGGTGGAAGGGGCGGGAAAGACCGGGGACGGATTCCCACCGGCGTCCACCCTTTCCCCGCGGAGACTGAAGCCCGATTCTTTTGTATTTACAGAGTTGATGGCCAAACTGGAAGCCCGAGGAGACCGAGAGGAGAGCGAAGAAGAGGAGGAGGAGAATCCCGACTGATCCCCCTTCCCTCCCCGCCCCAAACACGAATAAAGCGGTTCTTTTAATTCCGTTTTTGTCGAATATAATTGTGGAATTTTCCGAGAGCGTCGGGCGTCGTCCGCGGAGCTGCGGGCCGCGGCCTCCCCCCCCCCGGCGATAAGACGGACGACATCTCGGGTGGAAAAATGCCGGAGAAGGGGAGCCACCGTTTAGTTTCCCCGGATGCGGGAGGCGGGGAAAGGAAAAATCGGGACTCCGCCTCTGCCCGGCACGTGGTCCGGGCGGGGTATAAAAGGCGCGGGGTGCGCGCGGGAGTCGGGAGTCGCTCGTCTCGTAAGTAACCGTTCGATACTCTCCGGTCGTTCCGCCTTTGGGTCGGCGGCCCCTTCCGTCTCCGCCACCGCCCGAGGAGGGAAGGGACGGGGCGCCTCTTTCCGCTTCCACGCGTCCAGACGGAAGTCTTCTCTCCCTTCCGCGGCCGCGCGGGTGGCAACCGGGACGCTGGACGGGACCGCCGGAAAAAAGACTTTTTGTTTTGGTCCTTTGCGGAAGGGAAACCCCGGGAAACGTCTTACTTTTCTCGTCCGGAATCGTATCTCCCGCGGGATTTTAGCCGTCGATGGTTCCCCCTGGCGGGCGGGTCGGGCCGCACGGTTTCTCTCGCCGTCAACCGGGCGGGAGGAGGTCGACCGCCGAAATGGGGGAACGGGACGAAGGAAGAAGGCTTCCAATGACCTTTCGCCCCGTCCGATTGCTTCGCGTGGGTGAAGGAAGCAATTTGTAGCCCGACCGCCACCCGCGCGATTACTTAATTAGGACGAGTGCCCGGAACTGCGCCGCCGCCCGCTACCTGGGCGGAAGTGACGCGGCTCGACCACGGATTTTTCCCGGCCGCGCGCACCTGCTCGACGTCGTTCTGCCTTCCGAGGGTGGCAGAACGACGTCGAGTCGACGACAGGGCGACGGACGTTGTGGAAATTCCCCGTTCGGTTGCCGCGGAAGACGGATGGTTTCCGGTGGCGCCCGACCTATTCCGCCCCCTCTTATATACCGTAGAACCTTGGTTCTCAATCCGTGGTCGGCGGAACACGGGTGCTCCTTCAAGCCGCTTCGAGCGTTCCGCGAAAAAAATCCAATATACAATTAAAAATTGTTGCAAAAATCGATACGATGTAAAATAATTTTTGTATGGGAATGTAATCGACAAATGCCGACGACGTCGTAAACTAGACCGAGTGTTCCCCGACTTCAAAAAGATTGAGAACCAGGGCCGTAGAAGTAAACGTACTTTTACTCCCTCTCCCAACTTTACCAATAATACAATGTATAAAATTTAACGAAATAAATCCAACTTCCACCCCTCCCTTAGGCTTAAGCCTTTATAAAAGAAAAATTGGCCAACGGTCCATCTCCGTTTTTGGCTACATCCCGAAAGAGTCTCCTTTTTCTGCACGAAAACCAGAAAAAACACGTAATTGCGCGTTTAAAACTCGACCGGGTCCCGCGGTTGCGGGGTGTCGACGTATTTTACGTTACGAAAATGTCCGTTATAATTTTATGGATAGGCGTTACGAGTTTATAAAATTGCGGAACCCGTCGTTTATCGACGTATTGCTTTTGCTTCCCTACTTGTCTTCTCTAATTGATTTTTAATGCCGCCGCGCAACCTCGGCCGTTTCCCACCGACCTACGACGTAACGGCTTGGGTGCGCCAACACCATCTAACGTTACGCGTTTATAATTATGACGTAAAACACGTCGCAAAAAGTTGTGTATTTACGCACCGAATTACATAATAGAATTTCGAACCGAAATTCGTCGTTTCGTCACGAGGCGGATTCTTCGCCGGGTTATCGCTTGTTTTCGTGTTAAGTTGGAAATTTTTTTCCCGTCGTCCGGCCGACTTTTCAAACGTTTTCCGAGAGGTACGTCGGTCGGTCCCGAGTTTATAAACTAAAGGAGACGGGAAAAATCGCCCGCCATTCCGACCAAACTCTCTCTCGTTTCTTATTTACGATCTGTCTACGCGTCAAGTTGATTCGGGTTAATGCCAGACAATGCGTAAACTTTATTTTATTTTCTCTCACCAGATGGCGGGACGAGTTTTCCGTTAACGGCGTTAATTTTCGTCGCGGGCATTAACCGTAAAGAATCGCGTATTTAACGACTGCTACAGCCAACTTCCCAGTACGATATTCCGATAACGTGGCCGAGCATCCGTAATTCCGTTTTACCGACCGGAAGTCATTTCCGCAGACTGACTATAGCCACGGCCGCGATTTCGCTACCGTGGCGAAATTAATTTCTTTCCGCGCGCACCGGGCCGCACTTCTACGGGTTTCGATAGGAACCGGAAGAAGTCGGAACGTAGAAAGTAGCGCCGAGCCGCCGTTAAAAGAAGAAGAGGAGCGGAGGAAGTTCCCGGTGCCGGACTGATCGACCGACGGGTTGTTTTTCAGAATTATTTGTTCGGACGGACGATTCGGCAAACTCCGACGATATCGCCAGAAAGTGGAATCTAGAAAACTCGTTACCTCCGGAGACTCGACGTTTCCCGCCCCATGGACGGTCAAAATAACAAAAGTGAGTACAGTACCTTGTGTTTTCCTGCCCTCCCGTTGCACCTTTGGTCGGACCGGAACCACCAACGGTTCCTTCCTCCAAATTCTCCGCTCGCGTTACTTAACGCGGAATAGTAAATAGCTACGGCGATTTTTGTAAACAATGGCGAATCGACCGTAAAAACCTCGTGGTTACGAAACCGTCAAAACCCGGGTAGCCGCCGCGGGTAGGGCGCAAACCCGCCTTCGGCTATTTTATCCGCCAAACTCTTAATTCCCTCGGAGCCGAAATTATCCCAGGTTCCGGAATTGCCCGTTAAAAACGGACGCGTGGTGCGCTAAAGACCCCGGAAAACAAACGCGCGCGAATCATCGATTTTTACGCGATAATTCTAAAGGTTCCTTTGCCTTTTCTTCGAAGGGAAGTAATCTTGCGCCTTATTTTCGCACAACGCATCGTCTCGAGCCGATAAAAGAATGCGTAAAGAAACTAGCGGTATACGGTAGCCGTCACCGTAATTTATGACGACACTCCGGTTGGCACGATTTTCGGGCGATTTCGTCGCCGCTCGTGCACGGTAAAATCGCTTCGAGTACCGGGGTAACGCGTATTTTAGCCTGGCCACCGAGAAACACGCGGCACCCGTACGCCACGTCGTATTTTTACCCGTCTTTACGTGGGGTGGAAATTTCGAAAAGGTACGTAAAAATAGCAAATATCAGACATTTTATTTTTAAACTTTATTTTAAAATCGAAAGGTTTGCCGCCGTTGTACAAATTTCCGTAATTCGTCGCAAATCGCCTTCCGTTTCTCGCCGAGTGCGTGGCACATAGGGCAACCGCTACGCGGAGAGCCAGCGTTACGGACTCCGGAACTCGTATAACCTGTCGAATTTTAGTTTTGTGCGGATTGTCGAAGGTTTTAACCTCCGATAATCCGGCACAAATCTGGACAAAACTATTTTCGCGTACCGATAAAATGGCGTCTTGCCGGTTATAACGGGCAAAAGTGACGCGTTTTGTACGTTTCAGCCAAGGCCGACGACGTCGGATTTTTGGAAGACGTCACTAAGATGATGCTGCGCTCCGACATCATCGGAAACGCGGCCACCATCAAGGAGAAACACCGGGTCATCGACTTCAGACAGCCCGAGGAACTAAAGGTAATTGGATCCTTTCTTTCGGCAAAAATTCCCCCCTAATTACCTTTCCTCCGGCAGAAATTCATGGACTTCGACGTTCAGGAGGAACCGGCCGACAGGAAGAGCCTGTTGAAATTCTGCGAAGACTTCGTGCGCTACAGCCTGAAAACCAGTAAGTGGAGGCGCGCGCGCGTGGAACGTGCGGACAGATCCCGGCTGACCCGGGTCTTCTTCTCGCAGGCCATCCCCTCTTCCTCAGCCGACTGTACCACGGAGTGGACGGCTACGGACTGGCCGGCGCCTGGCTCTCCGAAGCTCTCAACACCACCCAGTAGGTACCTCGGCCGCAGTCCCGGTTTGCGGGGCAACGGTAGTAACTCTTTTACCCGACAGGACCACCTACGAAGTGGCTTCGGTCTTCACTCTGCTGGAACGCGCCCTGCTCGACCACCTGCGAAGACTCATCGGATGGGAGACCGGAGACGGAATCTTCTGTCCAGGTATTTTCCTCCCCCCGCCTCGGTTTCTTCCTCCGGATCGAGATAATTTAGCCGGGCGCGGGCGTTTTTTTCAGGAGGATCCCTGGCCAACATGTACGGGATGGCCCTGGCCCGGTACAAATTGTTTCCTTCGGTGAAGGAGAAGGGCGTTCGCTACCTCCCTCCTCTGGTCACTTTCGTCTCGGACGAGGTAAGAGTCGCCGTCTCTTTCTTTCCCCCTGCTTTTTTCCCCACGATTTTTTCCCTTTCGACAGGGTCACTACTCCATAGTCAAGGGTCAGAACTTCCTGGGGATGGGCACAGAAACCGTGGTCAGAGTCAAGACCGATTCCCTGGGCAGAATGATCCCGGGAGAACTGGAAGCGGCCATTTTGGAGGCCAAACGAAAGGTGAGATTTCTTTACAATTGGTTCTCGGGTCACTTCGGTACGAGTCGTGGACGAACTTCCTTCCTGGCTGGTTGTGGAAAATTCTCCGTTCGGGTCAATTCCGAGACTCGAGGAGGACCCCGAGCCCGAAGTCGCTCAACGCCGTTGCAGAAAAATAAGCGGAATTTTCGCTTTTATTTGGGTTAAGTCGCAGCTTAAATAGAATTAAAAATCTTCGGAACCGGCCGTTTAGTGATAAAGAATTCCCCGTACGCGTCGTTAGGCTAATCGGCAATTTAACGATACGAACTATTTGGTTTTGCAATTAAGCAATTGCAGTTGTTATCGCGAATTATGAGGTAATACGTCTCGTGCCAATAACCGCCAGATGACGTGGTCCCGCGCCGTTACCCCAGTCCAAATTTTAGAAAAGACGGTTGCCGTAATAGAATTTTACGAGGAAGCCGAGATTATTTTTAATCTTTTCCATGGGAAACGTTGCTTTTTATTTACTTTCGAACATTTCTCCTAATTCCGTTTTAAATACTTTTTACGAATTTATTGGACTGCAGACCCAATAAACATGTAACATTGTCCTTGGGTTACAAGGACGATGACTGTACTTTGAAGCCCGGCGACGAACTTCAAACAGTTCATAAAGAACGAGTAAATTTCGTTCTGACCAATAGCAAACCCTGTCCAAAGATTCGACGTATTGCAATTACTTTGTTCTTTTTTCCAGTTTAGTANAATTAAAAATCTTCGGAACCGGCCGTTTAGTGATAAAGAATTCCCCGTACGCGTCGTTAGGCTAATCGGCAATTTAACGATACGAACTATTTGGTTTTGCAATTAAGCAATTGCAGTTGTTATCGCGAATTATGAGGTAATACGTCTCGTGCCAATAACCGCCAGATGACGTGGTCCCGCGCCGTTACCCCAGTCCAAATTTTAGAAAAGACGGTTGCCGTAATAGAATTTTACGAGGAAGCCGAGACTATTTTTAATCTTTTCCATGGGAAACGTTGCTTTTTATTTACTTTCGGACATTTCTCCTAATTCCGTTTTAAATATTTGTTACGAATTCCCCCTACCGGCTTTATTTTACTGAAGACCCGAGGACAATGTTACATAGACGAAAGTCGAGACCAGATAGATAAAGCTTCTGGCTAGACCGAAACTCTCGTGATTCCGATTAAAATTTTTCTCCACAAAGGCGTTACATAAGACTTCCTTCGTTTCCCATAGAAAGACCAGACGCGAACCCACCACCGCCGCCGGTGGGAAAAATGGCGCTACTAAAGGCGTTAAAATCCCCGTAAACGGGAAAAACGTGGGTAGTGCCGTGCCCGTAAGCCAAATAACGAAACCAAACCGCCTACCAAATTTAAATTTATATTTGGGTCGTTGAACATTTTCTACCACCGAATTTTAAGAGACGCGTGGCTGTATTTTATTCGTTTGCCGGCACCCGGCTTCCGTTATTTCGATTATTTTATAGGGGTTCATTTGTCCTCCCCATCCTTACGGTATTTTAATGATTCCACCGAGAATAAATAATGTAAAATTCGGCCACGAGTGGCCTAACTTTCCCGGCCGACGCAAAAAATCAAATAATAACTTTTATATTATTAATTAAGCCTCTGTCTTTTTATTATAATTTCCGGGCCGGAACGAGCTTTCTAAAGTGTCATAAATTAAACGACAATTGTTTCCGTTTCCCGGGGGCGTCGGTGCTATTCCGTTACTTTACTCGGACCTGTCCGAAACTGCAATAAACGTGGCAACTCTTTCAGGGAAACAAACCCTACTTCGTCTGCGCCACGGCCGGAACCACCGTGCTGGGAGCCTACGACCCCCTGTCTCCGCTGGCCGACGTCTGTCAGAGACACGGACTGTGGCTACACGTGGACGTACGTAAACTCCACCCCCAACCCTTTCCTCTCGCCCTTTCTTTCTAAGCCTCTCGTTTATCTCCAAGGCTGCCTGGGGAGGAGCGGCCGCCTTCTCCGAAAAACACCGCCACCTGCTGGACGGCATCGACAGGTAAGACATTCTCGCCTCCTTGCGCCCCTCGTCCCGGTCGAAAATTCTATATTTCTTCTTCGGGAGACAGGGTGGACTCGGTGACCTGGGACCTGCACAAGATGCCCGGAGTGCCCCTGCAGTGTAGCGTCTATCTCTCCAAACACAAGGTAGGTAACCGGGGCGGAAGGGACCGCCGCCCGCCCCGGAGGCTAACCCCGGTCGCCACCGCAGGGGATGCTGTACGGATGCAACGGCTTCTCGGCCGAGTACCTGTTCCAGCCGGACAAATACTACGACGTGACGTACGACGTGGGCGACGAGAGCATCCAGTGCGGCAGGAAGGTGGACTCGCTCAAGCTGTGGCTGGTGTGGAAGGGAAGAGGAAGTCGCGGCATGGAGAAACTGGTGGATAACGCCTTCGCCATGGCCGAGTACGACCTTTTCCCGCTCGACCCGTCCTTCTCCTTCTTTAATAATAAAGACGCTCCATCCGTCTCCTTTCAGATACCTGGCCGACAGACTGAGGGAGACCGAGGGATTTCGACTGGTTCTTCCGCGGGTAAGTGACTCAGACCTCTCGCCCGCGTTTCCGTTTCCCAACCCACGCCCTTTCCGTTCCGTTTCAGTTCGAGTGCACCAACGTCTGTTTCTGGTTCGTTCCCCCCTGTCTGCGAGGACGAGAAGACTCGCCCGAATTCTGGAGCAAAATGGCCAAGGTGGGCATCCGTCTTTATCTCTGGCACGTAACCTGCCGGCGGTAACTTTCTTCTCTTCCGGCAGGTGGCGCCGGCCATCAAGAAGAAGATGGTGCTGGAGGGATCCTTGATCATCGACTATCATCCGCTGGGGTCCAAGTCGTACGTCAACTTTTTCCGAGTTCCCCTGCACTGCACCCCTCCTCCTAGCCGCTCCGACATGGACTTCATCGTCCGAGAGATATCCCGTTTGGGAAACGAAGTGGTGGTGTGAGCGGAACCCGCCTTTTGTCCGTTTTGTCTTTCCGTTGTGGTTTAAATAAAGTGTTGTCCCGTCCGAGGGTGTGCTGGATTTTTGGCAGGGAGGCAGACGACTTATTTAAAAAGATCTTTACTATAAAATCGTTCGAACGGTACACGAGACGAGGCGGAGAGAGACCGAGTGTAAATTCGTATAAAAAAGTACGGCCGAGTCCGCATAAATTACGTATTTCCTTCGGGGAAGGCGGAGAACGGCTCCCGCAATAAATATTCGGGTGGTATGTACACAGGGCGGAGTCTTCGGACGAGCCCGACCCCCTCCGGGGCGGGGAGGGACGGGAGGAGAGACGAGCCTCCGCCCGCGCGTTTCTACAAAAAGAAAAAGGGAGCGCTATGTACAGGGGATGGCACGGGAGATCTCAGCACTGGAACTCGGAGGCGGTGATGGCGTTCAGGTCCTTCATCAGTCCTTCCAGATTGGCCATCTCCTGGTTCAGCTCCTCCGTGCTGTAAGACAACTGAAAAGACAAGCGCCGCATTCTAGTTCTTTCCTCGGCATTAGCCAGCAATCGACGCGAAATGAATGGATACTTACGGGCGGGGCGTCGTCCTTGGAAGAGTCCTGCTGCTCCGCTTCGCGCGTCCGGGCCGCCGCCGGACGCGACGGCTGGGCGGGAGCGGGCGGAGCGCCGGGCACCGCCGACGCTTTCTTGTGCGGACTGCAACTCTGCGGCGGTTTGACTGCCGGAAAGAAGAACAAAATGGAGGACGGAAGGAACGAAGAGTCGGGAAGGAAACGACTACTCACCGGCGTGCTTGGGCTGGGGCGTGGCCGGCGCGCTCTGCGGTGGGGGAGCGGGCACGCTAAAGCTCTTCAGCGGGTGACCCGCCGCTCGCTTGCCCGCCGCCTCGGCCGCGCCGGCCACGATAAGTGCACTTGTGTAGGCGGCCCGCTGCCCCGGGCCGGGCCCGGCGCCGGCTGGAGGGGGCTGCCGGGGCGAGGAGGTGGTCACCTGCTCGTAGGAGGGAAGGCCGGCGGCTTCCGACGAGGTGCCCGGCCGGGCGGCGTCCAACGTCACGTGGGCCCGGGGGATGTTGTACTGCGTCCGGGGATAGGGCGGCCGGGTCAGACTGCCGGAGGATCCCTCGTGGGGCCGGTCGGGTCCCGCTTCGGGAACCGGAACCGGAACGGCGGGGGCCACGGCTGCGGAGGAGCGGAAGATTAGAGGTGGTTGGGAAGAGAGCAACGTCGGTGCCGAAGAAAGCGACGTCTTACCCACGTAGGCGGCCTTCTTTCTCTCCAGCGTGTCCAGCAGCGACTCGTCTCCCAGCTCCTGCGAGTTGCGAGGAATGGGGGTGACGGTCATGGTCGTCTCCCCGTTGTTGCCTTTGTCCATGGACTTGAGCTCCATCTGGTCGTGGTGAATCCACAGGTCGGGAGGTTTTATCTCCTTGCCCGCGCTTTTACCTTTGGCTGTTCCTTTTCCCGAGCCGTACCTGCGACGAAAATGGCCAGCCGGGTCAAGATCGGCGTCAAGTGCCGAAACTCGAGTTCCGGCGCGCCTGGGACTTACCCTTTGTTTCTGACGGGTCCGAGGTAACCCCGACGACGACGACAGACGACGGCGCTGACCACCACGATGACCAGCAGGGTGAATCCGGACACGCAGGCGATGATGATGTACAGCATGTTGTTGGTCAGACCGCGGCCATCTACCCCGACGGAAAGACATTTAACTCTCGGCTTTCTCTTAAATATTAAATCAAAAATTTATAAATACATAAAGTCGGCCCCGCGGATCGACCTTCTCGGCCACCGTTGGCCCCCTGGCAATGTTCGAATAAACGAACTTTTTCATTATTATTAAGGAAAAATTATTTCTAAATAAACGGATGCATTCCGCTTTATTTCTACCGAATAACCCGGTAAAGTTAATAAGAAACTTATATTCTATAAATCTGCGTTCTTCCATCTTTTCGCACCCGCGAACCGGCCGAAGTCCATAAAGACGCGAGTGCCACTGTCGTAACTGGCCGTAACGAGACACCAGGTACTGTGTATTACAATGGCGTTACTCGCTCCCGAGTCTGCACTTTTAATAATAAAAATCCGGCCACATCCGTTCCCATTTTATAATAATAATTAAAAGTATATGTTAGAAACCTAAATTTTAAGGTTAGGGACGGGTTTTATAAAAAAAATTGTAAATGCTAGTAACCGGTAAAATCATTCTACTAGAGATACACGCGACCGCTTTATCTCCCCACCCCCTCGACCTCTAACCTCCAAAATTTAATAGCATCGATCCCCTAATACGCAAACCTTCCTGCAAAATTTCAGAAAATTTCGACAAAAAGCGCGAGCGTTATTAAGCTTCAAACGGGGCGAACAAAACCGTGTCCCCCACACACTTAACATCCTACCGTATAGAAATTACCCCCGAATTTTTTTTCGTTTCGCCATGTCCTAAGTCCAAAAATGTAAAAATCTGACGGGGGCATTTTTTGACCGATGGCCTACTTTCCCGCTTATATATAACTGCCGGGAAAGTAAAAATTAAACCCGTTTAAATGAGATTTTAAACTCGTAATTAATATATTATTATTATAAAATTTTCCGCCGGTCCGCGGACCCGAGATCGAAGAACACCGCTATAAATAACACACTACTTTTTTTTTCCTTCAGATATATTACGTACCTTTCTTACTCGTTAAACAAAATGCCATTGTGACTTCCAATTTTATTAAACGTTCAAATGGCGGCTCCTCGATAAATTCCTCGTGGGAATATTAGTGTATATAACGTAACTCCTACGATAATACAAAGTGCACGCTTTGCGTTATTTCTTTAATCCTCACGAATTTTAAATGCGATAAAACCGGCCGGACTTTTCGCCATTTTCTTTAGAATTCTTACGTATCGTACGGATAATGTCGACACCCAAAAAACACGTGGACGGGGCCGGAACAAAACCTAAAATTCGCCCCGTTTATTTTGTCTTTGGCCGGATACGCCGAACGTCGAGCGCCGCCATCTTGTAAGCGGCGTTCGATGTTTACGTTTGAGAGATGAAAACTTCGGCCGCAACCTTTGATTTTCGTGGTTAAACGTCTAGCACGCGCTCCAATTGTTTGTAAAAATGGAAGCCACAAACGGCAGGTTAATTCTATCCGTTTTAATTTACTACGGGAGGGGGAGAGAGCCAAGACATTCCAGAATCGTGCAATTAAAGTAAAGAATGAAAAGAAATATTAATTTAATAAAACATTCATTCATAGAAAATTTCTTACCCTGATAAGAGGCTCCGGGTGCATTAGCTAAACCTATAAATGGTTGCAACAAAATAAAACAATTTTATCAACAGGCAAATCATGCAAAAATAAAATTGGTAAAAAAGAAAAAAACATATTTAAAAACTAATTAGGTGAATCTGACGTTGCAATCGATCCGTTCGTCGGTTATTATAATCGTTGCGGAAATGTCCACGTCCTAGGCCCGACCTTTAAACTTTTTTCATTTTTTCCATATTAACGGAGACACGAAAAATTTAAATTTAATTAATGGATTATTAAGATACGCATTAATTATAAGTACGGTTATTAAAACACAATAATTCTTGTATAAAATAATTGTAAAATTAATTCATTTATCTAACGACAGATGGCGCCTGGCGTCTTGCCAAATTGCTTAGTAATTATTTAGCTCCAATAGCCCGATAAAGGAATCCGGCTGTTCGTTTCGTATTTTTTTTTTTTCTTTTCCTTCTTTGAGGTTTGATGGAAAACCGAATATAAAAGTGTGGCTTTGCAATTTTAAAGAATTAAACGCTATTGGCTTATTCTTGGTAACGTGTGGCACAGGGAGCAGTTGTGTATATAGGCTTTATGGACGGAGGAAATGCATTTCGGTCCTCATACTTTACAAAAGGAAGTTAGATGAGGATTACGTAGTCGATTATTGGTTACAAATTGACATTAAAAAAAATATTTGGTAATTGACTGGGTAGAATCTGTTTACAACTGTTGCTGTATAAGATAAAATAAAGGAGGATAAGTAAAACAGTTATAAAGTATATTACTAATACATAGGTGAAACTGGAAGAACCCTAAAAATCAAACTAAAAGAACATTTGCGTGCTATTAAATTTAATTACGCTAATTCTACCGTAACCGTACATTGCAATAGTGAAGGTTGCACGATTTAACAAAAATACTATAAAAAGGAAATTATTTGAACATTTGGAAATTACTAAAATAAAAACTTAGTTATTAGTGACGTCTGGAAACCACTTCTCCTCCATGGGTAGTATCGGTAAGTGATTCCGTCTCGCCCCACCTCCCTAGATGGCCCCGTCTGGTGCCTTCCCGTACAGATGCGACTGCATTCCGCAAGTGCGGCCGCGAACTCGAGGATGATCCGAACTCTGCCCGCGGGTAACATTAAATACTTAGTTTACTCTCTTGGTATTTTAAATGCCGCCCACCTTGTATTTTCTACCCGTCTACCGGTAATAACAATCTATACCATTTTATAATATGACAGTCTTAAACTTTAATTAAAACAGTCATAAAGTAAATATTTTCTTTTATATTTTATCTTATATGGCAACCCTTGTAAACAGATTCTACCCAGTCAATCACTCAATATTTTCTTAAATGTCAATTTGTAACCAATACTCAACTAGGTAAGTTAAAAAAAAATTATATGTATTAGATGAGGATTATACCATACATAAAATCTTCCTTTTGTAAAGTATACGAACTGAAGAGGGATCGTTAAGACCCGAAATGCATTTCCTCTGTCGATAAAGCCTATATCCGCAAACTGCTTCTTGTGTGATATGTTACCAAAAAAAAAAAAACAATAGCTTTTAATTCTTTAAAATCCACAATATTTTTTATACAATTAAAAAAAATGGCATATTATTGTAAAAAGTGATGCTTGTTCATAATTTCCTTTTTGGTGTAGAAACATTAAAAGTTTAGAGAATGGAGTTAGATAGACAAAGACCAGACGTCCAGATATGGAAACTCTAGGGGCGGGAAGCCCGATTAACTATATAAGAACTTCCGACGCAAACCGGAAGTTGTGTTGTTGCAATTCCAAAATTTTTCCCAAAAGGTGTTAGATGACCTATTGTTAAAGGAAAAGTATGATGTATGGGATCATGCTGATACTAATTTGAGGTGGAGAGCATCTGTTTTAAATTAAATAAATGAAAAATTACAGCCCAGCATTGTGACTGTGTCACAATAAATATTTGCTCATTCAATTTGATTTTGTGTCATTTTATGTATGTACTTTTACTTATATATTTTACATCCGCATGCAGAAAAATGAATAATTTTCATTTTATACTAAACTAGCTGCAAGGACCTGCTTCGCTGGGTTTTTATTTTTATGTAATATAGTTTTTTTATATATATAAAAGGCTGTTTTTCTAAGTAATATAGAATCTAGCTGCAAGGACCCGCTTCGCTGGGCAAAAAGTAACGATAGTGAAGATTAAGATAATTACATTATAGCTAATCTTACCCGTTTTCACAGAATGCAAGAATTAGGTCCCCCGTTTCCAGACTAATTAGAGAATTTTTACGTTTAGTCAAACGAACTATTTTCAACGTTTCTGGAACGTTTACAATCGTTCTATAATCGAACCAATATTCGAATTTTATGTTCGAATTTAATTCGAACAAATTCGAACAAAACATTCGAAATAGAAAGCCACTTTCAACCACTTTCAGCCTCATATCTCCCGCACCCTTATAGCTATCGAGACGCAACCACCCCTATCCACGAATGGAGACTTGGGGCTACCACCACATACAAACACCATTCACGTGCGATGTGTAGTTTTGGCAGAAAAGTGAAATATAGGGACATACATGTCCATTTATATATATATATATATATAGATAAACAAGCACCTAACATCACAAATAATAATTAAAGAAAACAAAACCTAGTATAAATATATTGATTTTATACTCCATACAACAAAATGTAAGATAAGATGATAAAATGGAACAGCAACAAAGAAAAGTAAATAGAAGAAATTGGTGAATAGAGTTTAGTACAGTAGTACATTCCATACTACTTGGTGCTACTGACCTTAAGTCTGTGTTGTTAATTACTAATAATGTAAAAGCTAGATAAATCCTGAAATAAAAGTTATTTATATGGTAATCTTTTAATTTAAAGATGCAAAATTTGATCAAGACCCTCCTAAAACTTTAAGTAATAAACCGACAATAAATCTATTCTCTTTTCTCAGTTTAGATTCTCGATAACTATTTATAATAATAATAATTTTCTATAAGTAAATAAAGATTAAAGTTAGGAATTATTTGTGGTGTAATTTTAATTGGATAATTTAACAGCAGGACCACTTAAAATGCCTTAGAACATTGTCAATATGTCTTTTACGGGGTTGAATAATGCAAATTTTTATAAATTAAGTAACTAAATGAAATTGAAATACAGTTTGCAATACATTAAGATGCTAAACAAAACAAGGTAACTATGTAATACAATCTCCATACGACAAAGGTTTTGTATATCTAAATTGTAAGTTTCTAATGATGGCAGAGTGTAAAATCAATTGTATTATACAATTTAATTAATGGTAAAGCAATACATAGTTGTAAATAATTTCATCATCAAAAAGTAATTTAATTTATGTAGATGTACGGTACTTAAGAAATACATTTGATTCTATAATAGATGGTACTTATGCAATATCTCACATAAGTACTGTCTATTATAAGGATAAAAGTTATTTTTTAATTCTTAACTGTTTTGCAATTTATTCATAAAAACTAAAATTAGAGTTTTATAAAGGTTTGTGCTTACCGGAACCGGTACGAAAAGTGACTTCGGCGGACATCGGACCGTAACCTTTGTTGTTTCGGGCTTGAATTTTATAATAGTATGTGGTGTCGGCAGTCAGACCTTTCAGCGTGGCTGTCATTTTGTCTCCCACCACGCCCTCGACCACACGATCTCTGTCTTTTTGCGTGTTGTCGGTGGTATAAAATATTACGTAACCTGAAAGAAAAAGGTAAATTTAAATAAATTCAAATAAAAAAATTTTAAAGCATTTAAAGAAATATTTCAAACCATAAAATGTTTTAAACTATTAAAAAAAAATGCAGGAATGTAACACAATAAAACACAGGAAATAACATTAAAATATATTGCCAGCTTTCAGTATTTTGTATTCGTACTTAGGTGATTGTATTTGCTTAAAAATATTTAACAGAATATAAATCTCCAGGATCTACATTTTGGATATTTTTAATCTCACCTCCAATCATCAAGACAAGTCTGTTAAAAGGAACAGTGACATGTGCAGAAAGATTAATTAAATTAATGATCTTTCTTTTGTGCACATTTAGGACATTTAAGACGTCTTTATTATATTAACTTTTAGTTCTCCTAATCAAAATTTCTCAAAAGTATAAAGAATAAGAATTAAAGTACTTTTACAAGTATCCGATGCCAGAGGAATTTTTAAACAATTTGTATACGCCTAGGCAGAGAAGTGCTTATAAAGAAAGATCGACTCCACTAGGGTCAAATTGCATTTCGACAGTCGGAATGGACGCATAGAAGACTTAAAAATATTTTTGTATTAATCACATCATTAAACCACTTTGTGGCAGGCGTGCCTACGACCTAGCTCGGGACTACATTGACAAAACTGCATCAAACTACTGGCTGACCAGGGGCTGTCCATTTGGAGAGACTGGGTGGTTTATGGTTGCCATTCAAGATCAGGTCATAAATATTAAAAACTATAGAAAACGCATTCTGAAGGATATATCACTCACAAATGACTCTTACAGAAAATGCCACATTCTACCAGAAACAATACAACATATAACCTCTGGTTGCAAGCTCTTAGCACAAACAGGCTATTTACATAGGCATAATCAAATAGCAAATATAATACACCAAGAGCTTGCAAACAAGCACAGATTATTAAACACCCAGGTTGGTTCCTGGGTGTTTAATAATCTGTGCTTGTTTGCAAATATACTACAAATATACTCCACAGGCAGTATTATAAAATGACAGACACAAAATATACAACAACAGAGCCATAATCACAGATAAAACAATTCATCACAATAGATCTGACACGAGTGATGAATGCAATAATGATTGCTTATATAACAGTATTATAAACAAATGCAGTAAGATCGCTTACATTAATATAATAGACATCTCTGTTCCAAACACTCATGACATAAAAAATGCTCACACTAAAAAAAATCAACAAGTACATTCCACTCTACTCAAGAAATAAGATAGACACGGAGAATGGATAAGATATTTATTGTACCTGTTGTCCTCTCTTCTACTGGTGTTATACCACATACACTACACAAAAGCCTAATGTAACACTTATTTGAGTAGCCTTAACTTTAGTCTGGTATAGTACTTGGCACTAGTATCGACCGAGCACGACATTCGCAACATAATAATAATAGTATTGTTTGCGAAAATAATAGCATTATGAAATTATACTAGATAGAAATATCAGTAGCCTACAGTAGTCAGCATGTAAGGCACAAGGTAATTTTTGANGGGTGCCATGACGGTAAGAGTAAAATCAGACATATTCTAAATACTAAAACAGATGCAATAAGACCAATCTGGACAATAGAGAAATGCACATAGAAATAAATCATCACAATAGATCTGACACAATCGATGAATGCAATAATGATTGCTTATATAACAGTATTATAAACAAATGCAGTAAGATCGCTTATATTAATATAATAGACATCTCTGTTCCAAACACTCATGACAAAAAAATGCTCACACTAAAAAAAAAAAAATCAAAAAGTACATTCCACTTTACTCAAGAAATAAGACAGACACAGAGGATGGATAAGGTATTCATTGTAACTGTTGTCCTCTCTTCTACTGGTGTTATACCACATACACTACACAAAAGTCTAATGCAACACTTATTTGAGTAGCCTTAACTTTAGTCTGGCATAGTACTTGGCACTAGTATCGGCCGAGCACGACATTCGCAACATAATAATAATAGTATTGTTTGCGAAAATAATAGCATTATGAAATTGTACTAGATAGAAATATCAGTAGCCTACAGTAGTCAGCATGTAAGGCACAAGGTAATTTTTGAATATATATTAAAATATAATTAAAATATACATAAATTCTTAACTAACCTGTTATTTGTCCATTTGGAAATTTCGGAGGCTGCCAATGCAAATTTATAGTAGTCGGATCATCTTCACTAGCAAATATGGTTAAATCTCTAGGAGGAGATGACGGAGCTAAATGATAATGCAATTGTAAATCAGTGTGATTTACTTTCTGAAGCATTTTCTTAAATAAATGTGAAACTTGTGTAATGTTTATAAGTTCGCTGCAACTTACCGGCTTCCTGAGTGGTGTTCAAGACGTTCATACTCCACGTACTCTCTCGGCGCCCTTTCGTAAAATAATAATAATTTTCTATAAGTAAATAAAGATTGCAATTCAGTTCCGTCGAGTTGAAATATCTGTACTTTGGATTTGCAGAGTGAATAGCTAGTGTATCTGACGGTATAGTATCTGTTGTCGGTGACGATTTGGTTCCGAGACAGAGTCGTGTCCGTCCAATACAGAACTACCGTCGTAGAAGATAAAACGATTGCCTTCAAGCCTACCGGCGGTATCATCGGCGTTAGAGGTTCCGGGGCTAAAATAACGAAATTTTTAGTCCTAGAAAAAAAGAACGAGTTAATGTCAGATACGAAAGTATGTTTTACATACTTGTTTCAATCAGTGTCTTTACGGTCTCATAAATCGGTCTTCCGTCCCCGACTTGATTGTAAGCTCGTAAACTTATGACATATTCCGAAGAGGGAACTGTATGCAAAATACATTTTAATTATTAAATTTTATTTATTTATTTACATATTATAAATATTTAAAATATTATTATTATGTTTGTGTAATTACATAAACTGATTGACCTAAAAAACAGTATATTTAGAGAGAATCCTTTGCTTAGTAAAATTAATGCAAGGATCATTTTATTAATAGAACAGGTAATAAAAAGAGAGAAGAGGCAGTTTATTTAAAAAAATCTAACGGTTAATAAGTAACCTGCACGCCGTCATTAATAATATCAATAATCAATTAGTATATTGGACATCATTGACTCTCCCAAATGTGTAACAGAGTAAAGTTCAGTCCTTTCTATGCTTCTAATAAATCAAAAAAGTTTTCCCTTTCTAAAATTTTTCTGAAAAATCTAAAACTTTTGCCGTTTTATAATAATTAAAAATATAAAAAAGTTTTAAAATATTTTAACAGACGGCACCAAACGTGCAGTTTTAAATGTTGCTGGATTTTTTTTGTGCTTGTGACAGTAAAAGTAGCAAATTTTAAAGCAGAAGACATCAGTTATAAAATTTGCTGGAATAAACAGATGAATACATCCAAACATGCAATGGACAAACGGGTAGAGGGATACATCATCNCCAAACGTGCAGTTTTAAATGTTGCTGGATTTTTTTTGTGCTTGTGACAGTAAAAGTAGCAAATTTTAAAGCAGAAGACATCAGTTATAAAATTTGCTGGAATAAACAGACGAATACATCCAAACATGCAATGGACAAACGGGTAGAGGGATACATCATCACTGAAAATATTGACAAATGAAATTTAAGAATATTAGAACAGGCAATGAAAGAATAAGAAATTCCAAATATTAATTAATATGAAAAAGAAAAGTCAGACGACGACAAACGGCAATAACTAGTTGTAGCCATCAGAATATTGGCTGTAAAATATTGTTAAATTATAAATAACTAAGAAAAATAAAAAAGCAAATAAATTTATTAACATAAGACTAATAAAATTTCTTGGCACAAATTTTTTTCTATAAATACTTTTTCAGGTTAGGTGTCTTTCCTTGTTCCGAAGGCTTTAGATTTTAAAAAGATATTTAAAATCCATAGATGTGGTAACGTATAGTCTGCCAATCTAACCACCGGCCATGGAAAATAAATATAACCTCGATTGAAAATCTGTCCTTAAACATTAAGTCAATGATGTTAATTCAAATGTAGTTCTTTGTCTCTACCCCATAGGGTTCTTTTTTGTTTAGATGCCATTTTATTTGGTCGTCCCAACCAAAATTTAATTTAAGATAATGTTCCTATTTGTATTATAAGATTAAAAATGATAACAAACCGACAAAAGAATGTCAACTCTAGAAGTTCTTTTTGGAAGCATTCTTATATCCAAAGGAAGTAAGTTTAATTAATAGCCGAAATGGCAAAGAGGGGTGCCATGACGGTAAGAGTAAAATCAGACATATTCTAAATACTAAAACAGATGCAATAAGACCAATCTGGACAATAGAGAAATGCACATAGAAATGGATATTAGAATGACTAATAATCTTCATTCACGTGCACTAAAAATTAAATACTTTATAATGATAATTTATTTATTTAAATAAGAATAATTAAAATAAATAATAGACATTAACAAATATATGCTTATTTAGAATCTTTACAATATTACATTACAAATTAGAATCTTCCTTCAATGTTAAGCTAGATTCTGTTATATGAACCACTAAGAAAGAGCGAAACGAATGCTAATCAAAACGAAATGTTGTTTGCATCGTAGTACATAAGATACACTGAGTTAGAACTAGATACGTCGAAAAGATTTCGAACGCTAGTTGTGAAAAGACGATCGGTTGAACAAACTGACGTTCATCAAAAGTCAAGATATTTTTTAACATCTAAGAAACTGGTCAAACACTTGCCGAAAGGAACGAACCAGCAGTTCATATCTACTTTGCAATGGATTATATGCCAATCTGAACCTAGCTTTACAAACATTACCTTTAATTATTTTAGAAGACATATAGTACTTATTGTATTTTGTTTGAGCAATTATTTTATTGCCAAATTCGTACGAGTATGCCTAAAAATATATTATTTTTAAGACGATTCCGAGTTAAAAATCCACGAAATCGATCAAATGATCTCGCAAGCCAGATAACAGAAAAATACCAATGAATATTACTGAAAAATATCTAAAACAAATTCTTTTACAATCTTTTAATAATTTATATTCTTAATTGTTCAATACATTTTATACTTTGTATTTTGCAAGTCTCTTTCCATTTACTCATATTTTCTTGATAAAATTACAACACTATAATGTTTAAAATTTAAATATTAGCATATTTATCACATATTTTAAAAATAAATTAAACAATTTTATTAAAAAAATGAATAATCTGACATTGAAAAACTCACTCAAATTTTCTATAGCATAATATCTCTGTTTTCCATCCAGTACTTTTGTATAAACATCCGGAAAGCCAATTCCCCAACCAATAGTATAACCACGCACCATAATATTTTGATTTCTAGGCGGTGCCCAACTTACAAAAATGGAATTGGACGACGGTCGAGCCCGGAGAGAGTGAGGTTGGTCTGGTACTCTGCTCTCTGAAAGTAGTTAGAATTTAATCTTTTGTTCGAAAATTAGATTTGTTTCGAGCGTGTTACTAACCGTCCAGATCGTTCTGATAAGTTTCTACCGCAATCCATTCGGTCGAAGGACCACTTCCGTTAATGGATAAAGCAGATAACTTTACGTAATACTGAAGTCCTCTTTCTAGACCTTATACAAAAGAAATTACTTTATGTAAGTAAAAATATTATATTAATTAATTAATTATTTAAATTTTTATAGGTGGAGAATAAGGGTGAGAAATTATCTTCCATGGCAGTCTGTATTTCTAGATGAGTATTTTATAGTCATTCACACACAAATTATTACGATCTGTTCATCTATGTACTGTACTTGTCACATAATTACTGTATTTCCATGAAGATATTCTATGCCGTATTTCATTTGTATCGGCTTTGTATTGCAATTTACAGTCACTACAATATCACAATACAAACATCCAATAAATCGCAATGCAATCATAAAGCCACCTTAACACCATACTTTTTCTAAATAACATCAATTCTTAAAGGATATTAAATAAACATATTATTTATTACAATAATCAAAACTTGGCACCATGTTTATTATCTGTCTTTTTCTTAAAGCTGCTAGTTGAGGAAACCAAACATGAATAGATTTCTCAAAAATGTTTTAGGCTCTATAGAGCTGGCTTCGGCCATAAAAAGAATAAAACATCTATAGAACTTTTTTAAGTTTTGAAATATAGAATGTTTTAGAAAATATGATAAAAGATATATACAAATCCAAACAAAAACATCTGAGATGTAAAACAATTGACCAAGTAAAATATTATGACAATTTATCTAGAAGATAAACTTTTTTCTTGGGAGTTTTTCTTTGGTACAGATAAGTTTGATGCTTCAAAGAGGTACCCAAAACATTTTCATTATTCTTTCCTACATCTCACTTTGAAGCACCAAGCTCATCTTTATTAAAGAAAAATTCTTAAGAAAAGAATTTTGACTGTCTTCTAAATTGTCATAATTTTTTACTTGGTCAATCTCAGATGCTTTTGTTTGAATATCAATTGGGTTTTGGTTAATGATTGTTATTACATCGAAACTTAAGACAACAAAATACACTTCAGTTGGTGCTTGGCAACAAAACAGCCACTGATCAAATGCTTTTGATATGCTGTTAGTAAAATCGTTACAAAAAGTTTTAATTTGCTTCAATTTGAGCTTTTCTTTTTTTATTCTGGATAACATTTTAAATGAAATCATTTGTTTTCATGCAATTTTATCCTTATGGGTATAAAATTAAGCATAAAAGTAAATAGTTCTATGGAGAACCCCCCATGATATTTGACCTATCAATCCAGAAGTCGTGTGAGGAACTCATTGACAATGAAAAAAGCATAAGTTTAAAATTTGAGCTTTCTAGATCCAGTAGTTTTTTCTCTAGGAATGTCCACAATGCCGGATGGAGAAAAGAAGACACGGCTTTTTTTGGTAATTTTTTCATTTTCAATTGTTTATATTTTGGTAACCCCTTTATAGAAAAATGTGAAATTTTGCACACTACCTAAGAAAACAATTTTCTTTCGAACAAGATATTCAGAATTACTATATGTGTTTCATGGGTGGTGAAATCAACCCTCAAAAATTGGCAACTCTGATTCCTGTATATATAATCAGTTAGTGACTTTTTACTTGGCACAGAGTCATTGCCGTGACTCTTGACAATGTTAATAAAAAACTAAATGAAAAGATGAAAAGATATTATGTTGATGATGATATTATCCTTTTGATTAACCAAGATGTCAATATTTTGTTGAGCACCAATTTCCAATATTCATCTAAGTCTGCTGCATTATTAGCATGTATTAAACTGAGATGCAATTTCAACCAATTGAAAGAGCTCTTTAATTCTTTTATAAAGTGACCAGGCAGTAGAACCTATGTGATAAAAATTATTACCATTCTTGTTTAACTGCGGGGTGTAAATTGCAAAAACTTAAAACAGAAAAACTTTGACTTTATTGCTGCAAAGAGTATCCATTACTGTAGGTAGTCTTCTAATGAGCAACTTAATATCACAATTTCTTGTATACTTAGAAGCTAATGTGACCAAAACCTTATTGGTGACTGATAGATTATTTTGTGTATCTTTCTTGTTTTAGAAAAATACCTTCGTTTGAAATCTTGTAGTGGCAGCTTTTATCATATTGTTTATAACACTGTTACAAAATCTGTGCTTCCTTGCCACTTTTTTGATGTATCACAGCTCTTTTTCCTTGCCTACTTCAAATGTGGAATGAGTAAATGATCTATTATAAATGCAAATTCATCTCTCTAGTAAAAATAATGTATAATGATGTACACTAGGTAATTAGAACAATATTTTTAGCTTTTAATTGAAAGCATTTCAAATATTTTGGGAAAGAAAATTATTTATTGGCTCATTAAAAATTTCATTTTATTGCATTTCTTTTCTGTTGAGAAGATTCTGTGTAATAAGCTGTAATGTATGTGTAACTATGTCATGATAAGAAAATTATAATAAATGCCCTCAGGTAATGAAGGAATTAATAACTTAACAATTTAAGTAATCATTTTATGTATTACTTAAAAACTACACTTAATTTATATCTATAGGAGCAGTCACTTAAAGTGTATTATAGGTGATAAGATGCATTGGAGAAAGAAGGCATACAACCTTTCCTATTCATAACCTGGTCAGAGACATGAATAGAGTAGGTTATTCACTTCTCAAGTCAACTTTACTTCCCAGAGATCACTTAGACATCCATTGGGAAAAAACTTGGATGATCTTGGATTATTGACAAGAAAAAAGCACTCACTACTAGGATTTGATCTCGGATCCTGTACTCGGTAGTTTGCCCACATATCTCTAGACCACCATGGATCGTGTTTTATTTATACTTTCTATATTTTCTATAAAAATACACTTAGTACAATACCTGTCAGAGCGTACAATCGTCTATTGCCGTCAGTCGTAACGGTTTCGCCTCTCCGGCTCCCCTTTTGTTTATATCTTATTTTATATCCCGTAATAATTCCATTTTGCGATTCTTTCGGTGGCGGTTCCCATCTGACAATAATACTCTGAAAATTTTTTCAAATTTCTTATGAATACTTTTACATAAATAATTTAATAATTACACATTTTAAAATTTATACCGTTGAGCTAGCGGCTTCTAAAGTGACATTTAAATTAATTTATTTAATTAACAGTTTACTATCAATCAACTATATACTATGAATTTTGTTATAACTTTCTATAACGTCAAATATTCAGTTAAGTGTTTCATTACAAAAGTAACAATAAGTAATTAATATATACAAAAGAATAAAAGAAATGAAACGATATTAGTTTTTCCTCTAATTATTTAGTTAAACTTCAGAAAATCATAATGAAGCTTAAAATATTAGGAAATAATAACTGAAATATGAATATTCAAAACTAAATAGTAAACTTACTTTTGAAGTAGATCCCCAAGATACTGTGAGGTGTGATATTGAGAGGCTTTGTGTAAATCTTCTTCTTTCAGAATTTGCTTTCTTCCTTTGTTNACTTGGGGCTACCACCACATACAAACACCATTCACGTGCGATGTGTAGTTTTGGCAGAAAAGTGAAATATAGGGACATACATGTCCATTTATATATATATATATATATAGATAAACAAGCACCTAACATCACAAATAATAATTAAAGAAAACAAAACCTAGTATAAATATATTGATTTTATACTCCATACAACAAAATGTAAGATAAGATGATAAAATGGAACAGCAACAAAGAAAAGTAAATAGAAGAAATTGGTGAATAGAGTTTAGTACAGTAGTACATTCCATACTACTTGGTGCTACTGACCTTAAGTCTGTGTTGTTAATTACTAATAATGTAAAAGCTAGATAAATCCTGAAATAAAAGTTATTTATATGGTAATCTTTTAATTTAAAGATGCAAAATTTGATCAAGACCCTCCTAAAACTTTAAGTAATAAACCGACAATAAATCTATTCTCTTTTCTCAGTTTAGATTCTCGATAACTATTTATAATAATAATAATTTTCTATAAGTAAATAAAGATTAAAGTTAGGAATTATTTGTGGTGTAATTTTAATTGGATAATTTAACAGCAGGACCACTTAAAATGCCTTAGAACATTGTCAATATGTCTTTTACGGGGTTGAATAATGCAAATTTTTATAAATTAAGTAACTAAATGAAATTGAAATACAGTTTGCAATACATTAAGATGCTAAACAAAACAAGGTAACTATGTAATACAATCTCCATACGACAAAGGTTTTGTATATCTAAATTGTAAGTTTCTAATGATGGCAGAGTGTAAAATCAATTGTATTATACAATTTAATTAATGGTAAAGCAATACATAGTTGTAAATAATTTCATCATCAAAAAGTAATTTAATTTATGTAGATGTACGGTACTTAAGAAATACATTTGATTCTATAATAGATGGTACTTATGCAATATCTCACATAAGTACTGTCTATTATAAGGATAAAAGTTATTTTTTAATTCTTAACTGTTTTGCAATTTATTCATAAAAACTAAAATTAGAGTTTTATAAAGGTTTGTGCTTACCGGAACCGGTACGAAAAGTGACTTCGGCGGACATCGGACCGTAACCTTTGTTGTTTCGGGCTTGAATTTTATAATAGTATGTGGTGTCGGCGGTCAGACCTTTCAGCGTGGCTGTCATTTTGTCTCCCACCACGCCCTCGACCACACGATCTCTGTCTTTTTGCGTGTTGTCGGTGGTATAAAATATTACGTAACCTGAAAGAAAAAGATAAATTTAAATAAATTCAAATAAAAAAATTTTAAAGCATTTAAAGAAATATTTCAAACCATAAAATGTTTTAAACTATTAAAAAAAAATGCAGGAATGTAACACAATAAAACACAGGAAATAACATTAAAATATATTGCCAGCTTTCAGTATTTTGTATTCGTACTTAGGTGATTGTATTTGCTTAAAAATATTTAACAGAATATAAATCTCCAGATCAACATTCTGGATTTTTTTAATCTCACCTCCAATCATCAAGACAAGTCTGTTAAAAGGAACAGTGACATGTGCAGAAAGATTAATTAAACTAATGATCTTTCTTTTGTGCACATTTAGGACATTTAAGACGTCTTTATTATATTAACTTTTAGTTCTCCTAATCAAAATTTCTCAAAAGTATAAAGAATAAGAATTAAAGTACTTTTACAAGTATCCGATGCCAGAGGAATTTTTAAACAATTTGTATACGTCTAGGCAGAGAAGTGCTTATAAAGAAAGATCGACTCCACTAGCGTCAAATTGCATTTCGACAGTCGGAATGGACGCATAGAAGACTTAAAAATATTTTTGTATTAATCACATCATTAAACCACTTTGTGGCAGGCGTGCCTACGACCTAGCTCGGGACTACATTGACAAAACTGCATCAAACTACTGGCTGACCAGGAGCTGTCCATTTAGAGAGACTGAGTGGTTTATGGTTGCCACTCAAGATCAGGTCATAAATATTAAAAACTATAGAAAACGCATTCTGAAGGATATATCACTCACAAATGACTCTTACAGAAAATGCCACATTCTACCAGAAACAATACAACATATAACCTCTGGTTGCAAGCTCTTAGCACAAACAGGCTATTTACATAGGCATAATCAAATAGCAAATATAATACACCAACAGCTTGCAAACAAGCACAGATTATTAAACACCCAGGTTGGTACCTGGGTGTTTAATAATCTGTGCTTGTTTGCAAATATACTACAAATATACTCCACAGGCAGTATTATAAAATGACAGACACAAAATATACAACAACAGAGCCATAATCACAGATAAAACAATTCATCACAATAGATCTGACACGAGTGATGAATGCAATAATGATTGCTTATATAACAGTATTATAAACAAATGCAGTAAGATCGCTTACATTAATATAATAGACATCTCTGTTCCAAACACTCATGACATAAAAAATGCTCACACTAAAAAAAATCAACAAGTACATTCCACTCTACTCAAGAAATAAGATAGACACGGAGAATGGATAAGATATTTATTGTACCTGTTGTCCTCTCTTCTACTGGTGTTATACCACATACACTACACAAAAGCCTAATGTAACACTTATTTGAGTAGCCTTAACTTTAGTCTGGTATAGTACTTGGCACTAGTATCGACCGAGCACGACATTCGCAACATAATAATAATAGTATTGTTTGCGAAAATAATAGCATTATGAAATTATACTAGATAGAAATATCAGTAGCCTACAGTAGTCAGCATGTAAGGCACAAGGTAATTTTTGAATATATATTAAAATATAATTAAAATATACATAAATTCTTAACTAACCTGTTATTTGTCCATTTGGAAATTTCGGAGGCTGCCAATGCAAATTTATAGTAGTCGGATCATCTTCACTAGCAAATATGGTTAAATCTCTAGGAGGAGATGATGGAGCTAAATGATAATGCAATTGTAAATCAGTGTGATTTACTTTCTGAAGCATTTTCTTAAATAAATGTGAAACTTGTGTAATGTTTATAAGTTCGCTGCAACTTACCGGCTTCCTGAGTGGTGTTCAAGACGTTCATACTCCACGTACTCTCTCGGCGCCCTTTCGTAACTTTAACGGAAAATTCGTACTGAGTATTGGGCTTCAAATTATCAATCATGCAATTCAGTTCCGTCGAGTTGAAATATCTGTACTTTGGATTTGCAGAGTAGGAATAGCTAGTGTATCTGACGGTATAGTATCTGTTGTCGGTGACGATTTGGTTCCGAGACAGAGTCGTGTCCGTCCAATACAGAACTACCGTTGTAGAAGATAAAACGATTGCCTTCAAGCCTACCGGCGGTATCATCGGCGTTAGAGGTTCCGGGGCTAAAATAACGAAATTTTTAGTCCTAGAAAAAAAGAACGAGTTAATGTCAGATACGAAAGTATGTTTTACATACTTGTTTCAATCAGTGTCTTTACGGTCTCATAAATCGGTCTTCCGTCCCCGACTTGATTGTAAGCTCGTAAACTTATGACATATTCCGAAGAGGGAACTGTATGCAAAATACATTTTAATTATTAAATTTTATTTATTTATTTACATATTATAAATATTTAAAATATTATTATTATGTTTGTGTAATTACATAAACTGATTGACCTAAAAAACAGTATATTTAGAGAGAATCCTTTGCTTAGTAAAATTAATGCAAGGATCATTTTATTAATAGAACAGGTAATAAAAAGAGAGAAGAGGCGGTTTATTTAAAAAAATCTAACGGTTAATAAGTAACCTGCACGCCGTCATTAATAATATCAATAATCAATTAGTATATTGGACATCATTGACTCTCCCAAATGTGTAACAGAGTAAAGTTCAGTCCTTTCTATGCTTCTAATAAATCAAAAAAGTTTTCCCTTTCTAAAATTTTTCTGAAAAATCTAAAACTTTTGCCGTTTTATAATAATTAAAAATATAAAAAAGTTTTAAAATATTTTAACAGACGGCACCAAACGTGCAGTTTTAAATGTTGCTGGATTTTTTTTGTGCTTGTGACAGTAAAAGTAGCAAATTTTAAAGCAGAAGACATCAGTTATAAAATTTGCTGGAATAAACAGATGAATACATCCAAACATGCAATGGACAAACGGGTAGAGGGATACATCATCACTGAAAATATTGACAAATGAAATTTAAGAATATTAGAACAGGCAATGAAAGAATAAGAAATTCCAAATATTAATTAATATGAAAAAGAAAAGTCAGACGACGACAAACGGCAATAACTAGTTGTAGCCATCAGAATATTGGCTGTAAAATATTGTTAAATTATAAATAACTAAGAAAAATAAAAAAGCAAATAAATTTATTAACATAAGACTAATAAAATTTCTTGGCACAAATTTTTTTCTATAAATACTTTTTCAGGTTAGGTGTCTTTCCTTGTTCCGAAGGCTTTAGATTTTAAAAAGATATTTAAAATCCATAGATGTGGTAACGTATAGTCTGCCAATCTAACCACCGGCCATGGAAAATAAATATAACCTCGATTGAAAATCTGTCCTTAAACATTAAGTCAATGATGTTAATTCAAATGTAGTTCTTTGTCTCTACCCCATAGGGTTCTTTTTTGTTTAGATGCCATTTTATTTGGTCGTCCCAACCAAAATTTAATTTAAGATAATGTTCCTATTTGTATTATAAGATTAAAAATGATAACAAACCGACAAAAGAATGTCAACTCTAGAAGTTCTTTTTGGAAGCATTCTTATATCCAAAGGAAGTAAGTTTAATTAATAGCCGAAATGGCAAAGAGGGGTGCCATGACGGTAAGAGTAAAATCAGACATATTCTAAATACTAAAACAGATGCAATAAGACCAATCTGGACAATAGAGAAATGCACATAGAAATGGATATTAGAATGACTAATAATCTTCATTCACGTGCACTAAAAATTAAATACTTTATAATGATAATTTATTTATTTAAATAAGAATAATTAAAATAAATAATAGACATTAACAAATATATGCTTATTTAGAATCTTTACAATATTACATTACAAACTAGAATCTTCCTTCAATGTTAAGCTAGATTCTGTTATATGAACCACTAAGAAAGAGCGAAACGAATGCTAATCAAAACGAAATGTTGTTTGCATCGTAGTACATAAGATACACTGAGTTAGAACTAGATACGTCGAAAAGATTTCGAACGCTAGTTGTGAAAAGACGATCGGTTGAACAAACTGACGTTCATCAAAAGTCAAGATATTTTTTAACATCTAAGAAACTGGTCAAACACTTGCCGAAAGGAACGAACCAGCAGTTCATATCTACTTTGCAATGGATTATATGCCAATCTGAACCTAGCTTTACAAACATTACCTTTAATTATTTTAGAAGACATATAGTACTTATTGTATTTTGTTTGAGCAATTATTTTATTGCCAAATTCGTACGAGTATGCCTAAAAATATATTATTTTTAAGACGATTCCGAGTTAAAAATCCACGAAATCGATCAAATGATCTCGCAAGCCAGATAACAGAAAAATACCAATGAATATTACTGAAAAATATCTAAAACAAATTCTTTTACAATCTTTTAATAATTTATATTCTTAATTGTTCAATACATTTTATACTTTGTATTTTGCAAGTCTCTTTCCATTTACTCATATTTTCTTGATAAAATTACAACACTATAATGTTTAAAATTTAAATATTAGCATATTTATCACATATTTTAAAAATAAATTAAACAATTTTATTAAAAAAATGAATAATCTGACATTGAAAAACTCACTCAAATTTTCTATAGCATAATATCTCTGTTTTCCATCCAGTACTTTTGTATAAACATCCGGAAAGCCAATTCCCCAACCAATAGTATAACCACGCACCATAATATTTTGATTTCTAGGCGGTGCCCAACTTACAAAAATGGAATTGGACGACGGTCGAGCCCGGAGAGAGTGAGGTTGGTCTGGTACTCTGCTCTCTGAAAGTAGTTAGAATTTAATCTTTTGTTCGAAAATTAGATTTGTTTCGAGCGTGTTACTAACCGTCCAGATCGTTCTGATAAGTTTCTACCGCAATCCATTCGGTCGAAGGACCACTTCCGTTAATGGATAAAGCAGATAACTTTACGTAATACTGAAGTCCTCTTTCTAGACCTTATACAAAAGAAATTACTTTATGTAAGTAAAAATATTATATTAATTAATTAATTATTTAAATTTTTATAGGTGGAGAATAAGGGTGAGAAATTATCTTCCATGGCAGTCTGTATTTCTAGATGAGTATTTTATAGTCATTCACACACAAATTATTACGATCTGTTCATCTATGTACTGTACTTGTCACATAATTACTGTATTTCCATGAAGATATTCTATGCCGTATTTCATTTGTATCGGCTTTGTATTGCAATTTACAGTCACTACAATATCACAATACAAACATCCAATAAATCGCAATGCAATCATAAAGCCACCTTAACACCATACTTTTTCTAAATAACATCAATTCTTAAAGGATATTAAATAAACATATTATTTATTACAATAATCAAAACTTGGCACCATGTTTATTATCTGTCTTTTTCTTAAAGCTGCTAGTTGAGGAAACCAAACATGAATAGATTTCTCAAAAATGTTTTAGGCTCTATAGAGCTGGCTTCGGCCATAAAAAGAATAAAACATCTATAGAACTTTTTTAAGTTTTGAAATATAGAATGTTTTAGAAAATATGATAAAAGATATATACAAATCCAAACAAAAACATCTGAGATGTAAAACAATTGACCAAGTAAAATATTATGACAATTTATCTAGAAGATAAACTTTTTTCTTGGGAGTTTTTCTTTGGTACAGATAAGTTTGATGCTTCAAAGAGGTACCCAAAACATTTTCATTATTCTTTCCTACATCTCACTTTGAAGTACCAAGCTCATCTTTATTAAAGAAAAATTCTTAAGAAAAGAATTTTGACTGTCTTCTAAATTGTCATAATTTTTTACTTGGTCAATCTCAGATGCTTTTGTTTGAATATCAATTGGGTTTTGGTTAATGATTGTTATTACATCGAAACTTAAGACAACAAAATACACTTCAGTTGGTGCTTGGCAACAAAACAGCCACTGATCAAATGCTTTTGATATGCTGTTAGTAAAATCGTTACAAAAAGTTTTAATTTGCTTCAATTTGAGCTTTTCTTTTTTTATTCTGGATAACATTTTAAATGAAATCATTTGTTTTCATGCAATTTTATCCTTATGGGTATAAAATTAAGCATAAAAGTAAATAGTTCTATGGAGAACCCCCCATGATATTTGACCTATCAATCCAGAAGTCGTGTGAGGAACTCATTGACAATGAAAAAAGCATAAGTTTAAAATTTGAGCTTTCTAGATCCAGTAGTTTTTTCTCTAGGAATGTCCACAATGCCGGATGGAGAAAAGAAGACACGGCTTTTTTTGGTAATTTTTTCATTTTCAATTGTTTATATTTTGGTAACCCCTTTATAGAAAAATGTGAAATTTTGCACACTACCTAAGAAAACAATTTTCTTTCGAACAAGATATTCAGAATTACTATATGTGTTTCATGGGTGGTGAAATCAACCCTCAAAAATTGGCAACTCTGATTCCTGTATATATAATCAGTTAGTGACTTTTTACTTGGCACAGAGTCATTGCCGTGACTCTTGACAATGTTAATAAAAAACTAAATGAAAAGATGAAAAGATATTATGTTGATGATGATATTAACCTTTGGATTAACCAAGATGTCAATATTTTGTTGAGCACCAATTTCCAATATTCATCTAAGTCTGCTGCATTATTAGCATGTATTAAACTGAGATGCAATTTCAACCAATTGAAAGAGCTCTTTAATTCTTTTATAAAGTGACCAGGCAGTAGAACCTATGTGATAAAAATTATTACCATTCTTGTTTAACTGCGGGGTGTAAATTGCAGACTTAAAACAGAAAAACTTTGACTTTATTGCTGCAAAGAGTATCCATTACTGTAGGTAGTCTTCTAATGAGCAACTTAATATCACAATTTCTTGTATACTTAGAAGCTAATGTGACCAAAACCTTATTGGTGACTGATAGATTATTTTCTGTATCTTTCTTCTTTTAGAAAAATACCTTCATTTGAAATCTTGTAGTGGCAGCTTTTATCATATTGTTTATAACACTGTTACAAAATCTGTGCTTCCTTGCCACTTTTTTGCTGTATTGCAGCTCTTTTTCCCTGCCTACTTCAAAAGTGGAATGAGTAAATGATCTATTATAAATGCAAATTCATCTCTCTAGTAAAAATAATGTATAATGATGTACACTAGGTAATTAGAACAATATTTTTAGCTTTTAATTGAAAGCATTTCAAATATTTTGGGAAAAAAAATTATTTATTGGCTCATTAAAAATTTCATTTTATTGCATTTCTTTTCTGTTGAGAAGATTCTGTGTAATAAGCTGTAATGTATGTGTAACTATGTCATGATAAGAAAATTATAATAAATGCCCTCAGGTAATGAAGGAATTAATAACTTAACAATTTAAGTAATCATTTTATGTATTACTTAAAAACTACACTTAATTTATATCTATAGGAGCAGTCACTTAAAGTGTATTATAGGTGATAAGATGCATTGGAGAAAGAAGGCATACAACCTTTCCTATTCATAACCTGGTCAGAGACATGAATAGAGTAGGTTATTCACTTCTCAAGTCAACTTTACTTCCCAGAGATCACTTAGACATCCATTGGGAAAAAACTTGGATGATCTTGGATTATTGACAAGAAAAAAGCACTCACTACTAGGATTTGATCTCGGATCCTGTACTCGGTAGTTTGCCCACATATCTCTAGACCACCATGGATCGTGTTTTATTTATACTTTCTATATTTTCTATAAAAATACACTTAGTACAATACCTGTCAGAGCGTACAATCGTCTATTGCCGTCAGTCGTAACGGTTTCGCCTCTCCGGCTCCCCTTTTGTTTATATCTTATTTTATATCCCGTAATAATTCCATTTTGCGATTCTTTCGGTGGCGGTTCCCATCTGACAATAATACTCTGAAAATTTTTTCAAATTTCTTATGAATACTTTTACATAAATAATTTAATAATTACACATTTTAAAATTTATACCGTTGAGCTAGCGGCTTCTAAAGTCACATTCTGTGGTGTATCACTGGGAACTAAGATAAAAATTTATTTATTTGTTATTTTGGCTTATAAAACTCTTAATATATTAAATACCATCAAAAATAAAAAATAGTAAATATTAAAATTCTACAATCAATAATATAATTAATAAATAATCCAATTACTATGTCTAAATAGTTTAGAATCTAAATTAAACAAGAAAGTGGTACACATGTGGCAGATCTGTTTAAGATGCCAAAGTCAATGGCATGCACCATTCTTAAGTGCAAGGGAGCAATAAAAGCAGTAAATGTGGCTAAAGGTGTGACAACATTGATCTCTAGATCACGTTATTGACAACATGAAAATACTCCTCCCAGTGTGGGTAAATGAAAAGCAATTGGGTGATGACATCATCTCTGAGAGGATTATTTGTGAGAAAACCAAGCAAGCTGTATGACCTTAAGAAATGGGACATCATCAATCATTAACATACAGTAAATGCAATTTTCATTTTATTATACAGTGTTTACATATTTTATTTATTGTTTTTGTGTTTTAATTTATTATTTAGGGCATTTAATTGCTTTATTTTTACCTTAAATTATGTGTATTTGCTGTTTAAGTTTATCGAAAGGGGTATTGTTTAGGATCGGGAAACAGATTCATAGAAGTTAATGATATTAAACAAAATTTATACTACAGTATTAATTCTTTATCATCATATTCAAGACATTCTGTAAAATGTAACAATTTTGTATTGGTTTAATCATTACAGTCAAATCTCAGGTTATTAACAGCCCTGCTTTTGAACAAAATTTTGAATGCCATATTTGCTCTGGTTGCCTACAATAACTCAGTTTCCAAACAAGCTACTCGGCAGAGCCAGCTACTGACAGTCAACTTCCTATATTTCCTATGTTAAAGAAAGTCGATGGCCCGACTAATCAATGACATGACTACCGATTTGTAAGTTAGTGGCACTGAGATAGCCTGGTATCACGTAACGAATCATCGACGACGTTGCTATTTAAATTAGATATCAATGTATATGCGGGAAAGACATTATTTCCATTTTTTGGTAGGTTTCCATTCCATTCCATAAATGCTTTATAGGCATTTTATGCATGAAATACAGCTAAAAAAGTTAAAAAAAAATTTGTATTGGGGGTCAGGAATGGATTAATCCATTTTATATTGTTTCTTATGGGAAAATTTGTTTTGGTTTGAGTACAAATCAGTTTCCGAACAACTTTTAGGAATGAATTAACTTCGTAAACTGAGGTTTGACTGTACTTAGCAACAACTACATAAGTATGTTTAAACTGTGTGAATTTGGTCTGATTTAATTCAGTTCATATGTTAACTTCATTAAAGCATTCTAGTATATATTTTGTTTAATACTCAATTTTGGAATTTTATGCATTCAATAATATTTTTAAAATTTATTAGAAATTTCATCTTAGCAAGAATTTCAATATACTATTAGAAATAGATTATTGTTATAAATTATTTTTCATTGAATACATCAAAATTTTTTTTTATTAAAATCCTCCTCATTTTATGAATTAAAATGGATCAGACTTCGGGAAACTAAAAATCCACAATTAATAATGACTTTGTGTTGGTATGTTTCATATAAAATTATTATTGATTATGAATCCTTACATAATAACTTCATAAAATGACAATTTGTTTACTAACTTCCCATTAAAGTACAAGTATACGTACTGTCCTGATACGTTGTGGCGGCAACTTCGTCTGTACTCTGTCCGGGACCGTTCTGATTTTCCGCAATCACCCAAAAACTGTATTCCGCATACTTTTTTAATCCTTGCAAAATGTACTTTGGCTCCGACGTAATGACTTCGTGTTCCTCCGACGTGCCCACTTCCATGTAATACAACTTATACTGTTGGATGGGTCCGTTTAAAATAACCGGAGGATGCCACTGTACGAGAATAGAAGTCGCCGACAGCGGCTGCGCCGACAACTCGAGAGGAGGACCAGGAACATCGACTGAAATAGTTAAAATAAAAATATGAAAATAGTAACGACATTTTATTTATTTAACCTTTAATGTTCCAGGAGTCAAAATACATTGCCTTATAGTAAAACTAGATTTTATATATCTTCAATAAATAGTAATGTTTCATATTAATAGATTTTACATGTTAAATTATTATTTTAATTGCAAAATTAAAATTTAAGAAACATTTTTTAAGTAAGAATAGTCAACTTAAGAACAAACAAGTTTCATCCTTTTTCTGATATAACTTTTTCAGGCCAAATTTAATTACTTTAACAATATCCAATACTAAGATAAAGCTAGGAAAGATGATATAAGCATAAAGAAAATTAATGACAGCTGTAAGTTTGTCTGAAACGGTGCCAACGTCAAACTGTGTCTATTTTTAAGATCCGAATAAAGATGAAATATTCTTATTTATTGTTTCTCTACGTTACAAACTATATTTGTTTTGAAATAAAAATACTTTTGGTAATAAGCACCTAATTTAGATTCTCCATTGAGACATTCATTTTATACAAAACCAATTAAAAACTACAGATTATAGTATTAATATTAATTTTTACCTAAATATCTCAACTTTTTAAAAATATAATACTACTACATCAATTTTTTTTCTGTTTTTTGTATAATTTGCAATTTCTTGTATATTACTGTTAATATCTGGTTTTTAACATTCCCTTTTTTATATTACCAGAAAGCTAATTTTGAGCCTTAATTAGATTTACTATGTCTTTTTACATTATAATAAATACAAAATAAACATAAACATTGGCTTAGTCAGCGTACGAGTAGGCAATTCTATCAAGTCAATCCTTACATTTAGTAATACGAGGTATATAAAAGAGAACGAGTGTACTTCTTCACATACAGTATTTACTCTATACGTTCACCAAATGATTAACTACTTTCGATATCAATCCCTTTACTCCAAGAAAAATAGGATTTAGCAAATCAAGTGTAAGTGTAAATATTTCTTTTGTACTTAAAAAAAATAAAATCTTAGCTCTATCTAATTAACTTATAATAGCATAGTTTATAGTACTTTGTGAAATATGCATTTTGACGCTCGCTCTTAATCAGTGATTAAACAGATAATTTAAAACACTGCATTGCTTATTGAAATGTAGAATGACCATCCAGTTTCCATAATAATAATAAACTGATTTTATCCAAATATAAATATTACAATGAATATTTTTAAGTTCTTTTTTGCATTTTATATTATATAGAATCATACCAAACTGTTTAACTGAAAGTTGTGAATGGAAAAATTACCATAATGCTGTTATCATTGTAAATAATCATTAGAAAACATATCTTAACAAATAAAGAATTTAAACTTTTATTTTAAACACAATAAAAGTTTTTAAATTTTTTATTCAATTTATAAATGACTCAGAGATGATTTAAGAATTTATAACTTTCAATGTTAAATAGTTCTTTTGAAAAACTTTATAGAAAACATGTTATAACAAAGCTATTTCTATAGAATTTTTCACAATTGTTTTACATTTTTGTATTATACTATATACAGTTGTCTCCCGTACCACACGGTTTGGAAATTGAGGATATCCCCCTGTACATGACGACTTCCAGTTTTGCTCTAACAGTTTTGGAAAACCTCCATACAATTTTCAGAAATTTAAGTGTAAATTTCATTATTCAATGTTTTATTTTATTGAAGCAAGTGCGCACGTTGTCTCAAATTTGCCCATGGATTTCAGAATATTGAAATTTTCAAATTATTTTGTGCCTTTCATCAGGTTTACTTTAATGAAAACTGACAGTACAATTTTTTCCTTCCTTGTCCTAGCTTTCCTATTGACAAAGTACGAGTATCATTGTCATTGCTTTCAGACTTAATACTGTCACTGTGTTTTGTTTTTATACATTAATCTTCACATTTAGTAAAGTTTATTTAAATATATTTAGATGAGTGCCGTGAAACTTTTTTTTCATAATTCATAGAAAAAGAATAATTCATAAAATGACAAACAAAATTGTTCAAGTACAATTCATTATTCAAACACAAATTTTGGAAAAAAGTTGCTCAGTGCTCAACTGAACAAACAACCTGCTACAACAAATTTTCAATTTGTATACTTTTTGAATTTATAATTTTTGAAAATTGTATACTTTTGCTAACTTCTGGAACCTAACCTTGTGTTTTGCATTAGTCCTTTCGTATAGCACAGATTCGCATAACACGACACTTTCTTCGAACTTAACTACCATGTTATACAAGAGTTACCTGTACTTATTATTTTACTTAGTTATAAAATAATTAGTTGTGCTCATGCAAATAATTGTGCATATGTAAAACAAAATATTGAATGCAAAAAGTAAAGCTTTTATTTGAGATATTCCAAAAATAAATATATATTGAACCATTTGTATTATAATATTTTTCAATATTTGATGTTATGAAGTTCAAAAAAGTGGATGATTTTGCCTTGAAGAGTGCATACATTTTTGAAACAAACCATTCAGTGTAGGATATGTTTGTAATGTCCAACAACTTAAACAAATTACTAACGAGTTGGTCATAAAGTACTAATTCCACTCAGGGTGTATGCTCAATGTTAATGATGTTTCAAATGAAATTCATGAAGGAAAGAGTTGGTTTACATCATGAAAAAAATAGTGTTAGTAATATTGATGTTTATAAATCTATTCAAATGTGTAAACTGTGATTAAAAGTAAAATGAAATTGCCCATGTTAAGCAAGCTAAGAAAAATATTTTTGATAAGAATGCACTAGCAACTTTTAAAATGTCCCAGCAGAAGAAAGAATAATGACGATATCATTGTTGTTTAATTCGTTTGACTTTACAAACATACCCATAGAAAATGACAGTGCTGCCAACCAAATCGTTTCAAGAACTGTATGAATGAATTTTCTTATATTTAACTTTAACACGTTAAAATGTTTTTGTTATGGCTATGAATTAATAAAACCTCACCCAGACTAGCATTAAAAGTAAATCATTATGTTTCTAAGAATATATTGTTGTGAAAAGATTGAAGTTGACTTTGCTCACTCTAGCACAGAGCAAGAAAAATAATTATTATTGTATTTATTCAAGAATAAGATTATCTTAAAATGTGTACTATATACCAACGGTGGGCAACCCCCGGCCCGCGGGCCAGCTACGGCCCGCGAAGAGTTTCTATCCGGCCCGCGAGATGTTTAGAAGAAATTATAAATAAATATTTTTCGAAGTAATTCGTCTAATTTAAATTGAATATTATTTTCTGAAGTGTTGCGGCAGCAATGACAGGAAAAAATAAGGGAGTCATTTCTTTATTCAAACAAAAAATGGGAGAACAGAATTTTTCTAAATTATATTTCATCGCATCATCCATCAAGAAAATCTATGTGCAAAAGCTATGCAATTAGAAAATGTAATGTCTGTCGTATCCAACTGCATAGTGCTGTTTTTATTGTGTTTAAAGTCACTTAAATTTTACAAATAGGTGAGCCGTTCACAGCCCGGCACACGCATTTGTAAAATCTAAGTGACTCATACAACATGGAATTCATATAAAACGGAATAATCAACAGTGTTATAGGGGGGTCGACTGTAGTAATTAATTTCCTTTTATTTATTTATTTCATATTTGCAGACTAAAAATTTACAGGTCACAAGGTGTCAATTAACTACTATGGCCCGCGGAAAAAACGTAAAATTTATTCTGGCCCATGTTATAAAAAAGGTTGCCCACCCTTGCTATATACGTTGTAAGTTTTTCATACCACTAAAGTTAAGCTTTAAATACCTTCATCCTGTGTTTCGACCATAATTTCTTCGGAACTCTTTCCGGCTCCATGCTGATTATAAGCGACCACTCGAAAGAAATAAGACGTAGACGGTTTTAATCCCTGAATGCTCACTTCTTCTAATCTCGATTTGGAAGTATTGACCACCCGTTCTCTGAACATTAATAAAAAATCTATGTAAATTTTATGTAAAATTTTAAAATATTAATAAATAATATAAATTACCTAGTAGAACCTTCTTCTCTATAATAAACAGAATAAGCAAAGATATTATTTGCTTTGGCGGGTTCGCGCCAGGACAAGGTAACGAATCTAGTGGATACGATTACTGCAGAAACATCTTGAGGCTGAGAAGGTGCATCTTTGGAATGAGGTTGATCTCCTGAAGTTCGATCCAGATGTAAAGTAGTGATAGTAGCATGAGTAGTGGGATGGGGAAAGTCTATTTTTAGATCATAGTACATGCAGAAAATTTTGTTTACGTATTTAATGTAATGAGATTAGCAAAACGGCAAAGGGAATACCAGAATAAGTCAGTTTTGAATATTATTAATGTAATAATTAGATTATATAAATAAGGAACAGTTACCATAGACACAAGAAAATAGTATTTAAGAATAGGAGAAAAAAACAAAAAATATCTACGTTAAATATACATAAATATCACAAACTAGAATTAAAACAAACTTCAAATAAATTTTCATTATATTTTCATAAAGGGAATAAATATAAATATATAGAACATTTAAAANACAATATCCAATACTAAGATAAAGCTAGGAAAGATGATATAAGCATAAAGAAAATTAATGACAGCTGTAAGTTTGTCTGAAACGGTGCCAACGTCAAACTGTGTCTATTTTTAAGATCCGAATAAAGATGAAATATTCTTATTTATTGTTTCTCTACGTTACAAACTATATTTGTTTTGAAATAAAAATACTTTTGGTAATAAGCACCTAATTTAGATTCTCCATTGAGACATTCATTTTATACAAAACCAATTAAAAACTACAGATTATAGTATTAATATTAATTTTTACCTAAATATCTCAACTTTTTAAAAATATAATACTACTACATCAATTTTTTTTCTGTTTTTTGTATAATTTGCAATTTCTTGTATATTACTGTTAATATCTGGTTTTTAACATTCCCTTTTTTATATTACCAGAAAGCTAATTTTGAGCCTTAATTAGATTTACTATGTCTTTTTACATTATAATAAATACAAAATAAACATAAACATTGGCTTAGTCAGCGTACGAGTAGGCAATTCTATCAAGTCAATCCTTACATTTAGTAATACGAGGTATATAAAAGAGAACGAGTGTACTTCTTCACATACAGTATTTACTCTATACGTTCACCAAATGATTAACTACTTTCGATATCAATCCCTTTACTCCAAGAAAAATAGGATTTAGCAAATCAAGTGTAAGTGTAAATATTTCTTTTGTACTTAAAAAAAATAAAATCTTAGCTCTATCTAATTAACTTATAATAGCATAGTTTATAGTACTTTGTGAAATATGCATTTTGACGCTCGCTCTTAATCAGTGATTAAACAGATAATTTAAAACACTGCATTGCTTATTGAAATGTAGAATGACCATCCAGTTTCCATAATAATAATAAACTGATTTTATCCAAATATAAATATTACAATGAATATTTTTAAGTTCTTTTTTGCATTTTATATTATATAGAATCATACCAAACTGTTTAACTGAAAGTTGTGAATGGAAAAATTACCATAATGCTGTTATCATTGTAAATAATCATTAGAAAACATATCTTAACAAATAAAGAATTTAAACTTTTATTTTAAACACAATAAAAGTTTTTAAATTTTTTATTCAATTTATAAATGACTCAGAGATGATTTAAGAATTTATAACTTTCAATGTTAAATAGTTCTTTTGAAAAACTTTATAGAAAACATGTTATAACAAAGCTATTTCTATAGAATTTTTCACAATTGTTTTACATTTTTGTATTATACTATATACAGTTGTCTCCCGTACCACACGGTTTGGAAATTGAGGATATCCCCCTGTACATGACGACTTCCAGTTTTGCTCTAACAGTTTTGGAAAACCTCCATACAATTTTCAGAAATTTAAGTGTAAATTTCATTATTCAATGTTTTATTTTATTGAAGCAAGTGCGCACGTTGTCTCAAATTTGCCCATGGATTTCAGAATATTGAAATTTTCAAATTATTTTGTGCCTTTCATCAGGTTTACTTTAATGAAAACTGACAGTACAATTTTTTCCTTCCTTGTCCTAGCTTTCCTATTGACAAAGTACGAGTATCATTGTCATTGCTTTCAGACTTAATACTGTCACTGTGTTTTGTTTTTATACATTAATCTTCACATTTAGTAAAGTTTATTTAAATATATTTAGATGAGTGCCGTGAAACTTTTTTTTCATAATTCATAGAAAAAGAATAATTCATAAAATGACAAACAAAATTGTTCAAGTACAATTCATTATTCAAACACAAATTTTGGAAAAAAGTTGCTCAGTGCTCAACTGAACAAACAACCTGCTACAACAAATTTTCAATTTGTATACTTTTTGAATTTATAATTTTTGAAAATTGTATACTTTTGCTAACTTCTGGAACCTAACCTTGTGTTTTGCATTAGTCCTTTCGTATAGCACAGATTCGCATAACACGACACTTTCTTCGAACTTAACTACCATGTTATACAAGAGTTACCTGTACTTATTATTTTACTTAGTTATAAAATAATTAGTTGTGCTCATGCAAATAATTGTGCATATGTAAAACAAAATATTGAATGCAAAAAGTAAAGCTTTTATTTGAGATATTCCAAAAATATATATTGAACCATTTGTATTATAATATTTTTCAATATTTGATGTTATGAAGTTCAAAAAAGTGGATGATTTTGCCTTGAAGAGTGCATACATTTTTGAAACAAACCATTCAGTGTAGGATATGTTTGTAATGTCCAACAACTTAAACAAATTACTAACGAGTTGGTCATAAAGTACTAATTCCACTCAGGGTGTATGCTCAATGTTAATGATGTTTCAAATGAAATTCATGAAGGAAAGAGTTGGTTTACATCATGAAAAAAATAGTGTTAGTAATATTGATGTTTATAAATCTATTCAAATGTGTAAACTGTGATTAAAAGTAAAATGAAATTGCCCATGTTAAGCAAGCTAAGAAAAATATTTTTGATAAGAATGCACTAGCAACTTTTAAAATGTCCCAGCAGAAGAAAGAATAATGACGATATCATTGTTGTTTAATTCGTTTGNAATTATTAAATTTATCAAGAGATGGCACCTAACTCTAATGCCAAATTGTCTATTAAATTATTAGTATTATAGCCATTTCTAGCCCGGTAATATACAGCTTTGGTAGATGGATAGCTTTAATCATATCGGGTATGTAAAGATGTTTGATTAGGAAAAGGAACTTTCTGCAGAGATGCTCGAGTCCAGGATTATTATTCTAATATCAATTTTATAATAATTTTATTTATTATTAAACTCAATTAACTTTAACTAACATTAAAATAAATAAACCAATCAGCTTCTGCAATGATATTTATATGTAGTATTCTATAACTTGTATGTGATAATGAGAACTGTATCCCTTTATTGCCATTAAATTTTATGTTTGAGCTAATGACTAATCCAACTTTTATAGAATCCTAGTATAGAACTCACAAGAAGAGGGTCAGACATTTGAGTCTTCAATTCAAACAACTTGGTGAGCATATAGCCCTAAACACAATCAGCTCCTTGTCCAAATAATAGGACCCACTTTTCACGTGTTTCCGAAAAACGGGCCTTTGAAAATTGGGTGTTTAGCTTATAAGTCTGGAAGTTTCATGTCTTCTTCGAAAGGCAACAGCCAAGTGGATAAGATGCTAGGCAGTGGAGTTATGCAACGTATGTTCAAATTTTTGCAATTTTAGCTTTTTTCTATTTTTTTGGTAACATAATTATTTTATTATTCTATTGTATCATTATCATTACTATTATTATTTCTGAAATTTAAAGCTTATAAAACAAGAGATTACAAAATTGTGACAACAATTCCTGTTTAGCAAAAATGAAGTTTCTGTAGATTTAAACTCTTTTATGTTGCTAAGTAGAATTTTCATATCTTCATATTTATTTTTAGATATTTCTGTTCATGATTACATACCATGTCACCACAAATAAACTTCAGACATTACTATGTATGGATGAGAAAGACAAGTCTGATATTAAAATAGTGTAGTGTATTTGCAATGTTTTTCCTTTTAATTGTTAATTTCAGGGACAATTTCCTCATGTTCTCATGTTTGTTACACTTCAAATATAACAATAACACCATATCTGAAAATAAATATGAAGAAATGAAAATTTTATTTAATGACATAAAAGAGTTAAATCAAGAGATTTCTTTTTCACTAAACAAGAAATTACATCATGATTTTTAATCTCTTGTTTTATAAGCTTTAAATTTGAGGAATAATAGTAATAATGCTAATGATACAAAAGAATAATAAAATAATTATGTTACACACAAAAAAAACTAAAATTGCAAAGAGTTGAATCTACATTGTGTAGCTCCATTGACTAGCATCTGATATCCACTCAGCTTTCCAAAGAGAGACAAAACTTTCAAAGATATATAAACTAAACACTCAATTTTCAAAGGTCCGTTTTTCAGAAATGCTTGAGAAGTGGAAAGGAGCTGATTGAGTTTAGGGCTTCATGCTGACCAAGTTTTGTTCAAATTAGAGACCTGAACATATGACCCTCTCCTTCTCAGTCATAATTTGGAATTACATGTGTAATGTTAAAAAAAGAAATAAAAACCTTGGTTTGTTTTAAAAAATTAAATTTGCAATAAATTACCATTATCCAAAATAATTAGTTGAGCAGATGCTTGTATATTATCAACGGGATTAGTAGCCACGCATTGATACATTCCTGCATCCAAATACACTAATCCTAGAATTCTAAGATTGTATCCGTTCACAATTTGAAAATATTCAGTTTGAGTAATTATTTCGCCATTTTTTAACCATTGAACGGTCGGCTGTGGTTTACCATAAACTTCGCATTTAAATTCAATATCTTCCTTTTCGTAAGCGTATTTATTTTCTGGTTGTTCTATGAAATGTGGAGGCACTGCAATGAAAGTTTTATTATTTCAAATGAAAAGAAATATAGATAATGAAAGAAATATATACAGAATAACTGTTTGAATTTAAATATATTTTTATGTTTATATATTATGTATTAGTGATCATTAAAATAAACTTTCAAATCTACTTATGAATCTTATCTAATTGCAGTGCACTTCAATTTTATTTACTTTAATGCTAAAATGTTCCAGCCATAAACAAAAAGAAATCATATTACTTTTAATTAAAAAGGTACAAATGCAGCTCTAAATGAAATAGTTGAAACCTTATGAGACCTGTACACCGTGCCCATTGGAGTAAAAAAGTCAAAGAAACTGATGGTTTACATGTGACCCTTCACAAGATAAAGCCCCTGAAATCAGTCCATCTACAATTTTATCTGTTGAACATGCAACAGACTTAATGGAGTGTGCAGTGTGATTCCAATCGTGCCCTGGAAGTAGTCGGTGCAATGCTTTTTCTCATGTTTTGCTCTAGTAAAGTGGAAAACAGTTTATAGTGTTTTGAAAAATAGCTCCAGATTTTTTTCACTTTTAAATTTTACACCATTTTTGAGGATCTTCAAAACTGTGGACAGGCAGATTCGAGGGGCTATATCTTGAGAAGGCTCACATTGGTTCGCCTGACTTTTTTACTCTTATGGGCATAGTTAGAGCTGTAAACCATGTCCACTGTCAAGTGCCTCATTCAGATCTACATTTATACCATACAATTTTAACGTGTATTTATTTTGGTTTTCTTTTCTTTATACAAGACTCAGCTAATTTAAGTTTTCGCTAATCCAAGCAACCCTGTACAATAATTAAATCAGTGCACTAGATTAATTGTGAGGTAACAAGAGAAGAATTGGTATTTATATTTATATTTATATTTAGTTAATTATATTATTTATTTTTCATTTTGTTTCAGTTATTTTGAGTTTTTAGATTGAGTTATGTTAAATCTTGACTGTTGTCTCATCACTCCCCAGCTAGAGCTTCATTTTCATAATGACATTTGAATAATGAATACAATTGCATCCTATTAAGTCAGGGTTTAAATGTGACTAAAATATTAAATAATATGCTACGTATAACTTTTGTTATCAGATTTTGTAAGCACGTTCAGTATGCAGATGAACGATGTATAAAAGACCATCGTCAAACTGGCACAGTGAGTTAACCTTAATGTCTGCTGGTCAGTGCATGGCCATTGAACTGTAAGCAATTAACTGGTACTGATTAAGGTCTTTTTCTGCTACATTCTTTTCCATAATTATGTTAAATGTTTGATATTTTAAATAATTGTAATTTTGTAAAATGTACGAATAGTTGATTTTATTGTTGTAAATACCAAATTGAAATTTGTAAAATTTGAGTTTTATACTAATTACTAGCATTGTAAAACGTTTTGTAGTCAGAAAGTCAAGTTTTGGAAACTTTAAGTTTAATAAAGTTTTTGATATTTTTACAAACTCTGGTGCAAGGATGGTTTCTATGATATTTTAGACCTTCATAGTTGTTACAATATTAAACATATAATTACTTCAATTGTCAAAATTTACTTTACAACAATAAAAAAGTAATGAGTTAACATATAAATTCAACAGTCAGTTTTTAAATAGTTCTCTAAATTGATGACCGTACACAGGGGAGGAATTAACCAGAAATTTATCCACTTTCAAATTAAAGTAGGTGTGTCTAATAATAATAAAAGCAAGGTTGACTCATAAAATGAAGGCAAGACTTGAATATAGGTTTTCTTGATGGTTTTAGAATAAAAAATAATAACAGTCTGTGGCCCTTAAAGGATTTTTCACATTTTCTAAAGACACTCTTGATGAATTTAGACAAAGTTTAATAATTTAACAGTTTAAAATACACTTTGGCCTGTCGGCCTTTTCCAAAGTGTTTGATGAAAACAATACAAGAAAACAAGCAAACAAAAACTAAGAAAAACTACAAAAAGAAAAAAAAAATCAAAAATGCTTTTTTAAGCTCCTTTTAAAAAGTTTATAGTTGCTTAACTCTTTCATTTTGTTGTTTAAACCATTCCAAAATCTTATCAACTGAAACAAAGGTACCTGTTTGGTCCACTGCTAGTTTAATTTTTGGCAACAAATAATTATTTTTTATTTTGAAACTGTAGTTCTTTGGTCTATGATAGTTATTGATTAAATCAAAAAGAAAACAGTCAGTTTTTTGTTGTTTAATTAACTTAAAGCCATCCAAGAGTAGTCGTTTTTATATAAAGTTAATATTTTAAATATTTTATCTTGAATATAATAGGTAGACAGAATCATTACAGTACAAATTATTAATTTATATGATAAAATAGTTTTGTTGTATTTGCAACTTATTTAAAATAATAATATGAACAGGAACTGAAGATTGATATTCCGTATTTAAGTTTCGTTTGGATACAAGTTTGGCAAAGATGTTAAATTAAATTAAAATTTAAAGATGGTTGTATACTTTTCATTATTCCAGTGAATTTAGCCAATGCTGAAGTAAGACTGTTTATGTGCAGATTCCATCAAAATTTATCATCTGTCTTAATGCCTAGGAATTATAAGTTATCGACTCGACTAATTTTCTTATTATTTCTTTTAATTTGCAACTGATCAGATATATATATTTATTTTTACTTGTAAAACACAGAAATTTAGTCTTATCAGTGTTGTTACACAGATTATTAATTTACATATATTCAGTTAGTTTTTTAATATATTGTTTAAATTATCTTGAGTAATCTTTGTATTTAAGTCCAAGTACGATATTACAGTATCATCTACATACATTATATGGTTAATTTCTGGTAGAAATTCAAAAAGATCGTTAACATAAATATTAAACAATAAGAGACCTAAAATGGACCCTCGAGGGACTCCTTTGTTAGATATAAACAAATCTGAAATACAGCTTTTTTATTTTCATGTATTATATGATTTGACAAATAAGATAATAGCCAGCATCAAAAACTTTGGAGATATCAACAAATAATGATACTACCGAGTGGGATTTGTCAAGTTCAATAATAACCGATAGCTTGAAATGTAACAAAGTGTCAGTTTAGTGGAGAAATTCTTTTTATAACTGTATTGAACTTTATTGCTAAATCTCTTATAAAAAAAAAGTTTTAAATAACCTTAGCTAAAACTAAAACTATAATAATAATAATGAAATTATCAATCTAATTTTCAATATCTGATTTGGTTCCTTTTCTCTTGTAAACTGTTAAAACAAGATCATGACTTAATTCATGTGGAAGAATCCCAGTACTAAACAATTTATTTATTAAACATGAAATAGGCATCACAACTACGTCGGCTATTTGTTTTAATATTCCAATATTAATATTGTCTATATCCGATGTATTGCTCTTTAGATTTATAATTGTATCATATATTTCTTGTGAAGTACACTCGACAAGAACGGAATTAGAAGAACTTCTATTTGAGACTGACTGAAATAACATAGAAGTTTGTTGAATTGTTGTAAAACCAGCCATTTTGCAGTAATGATTTTGCTGATATTATCTTCATCATTATAGGTTTCCCCATTATATATTAATTGTTTTATCGTTTCGTCGGTTTTTCTTTTTACTAAAGAAAAAGCTATATGATGCATTCTTAATTGAGAGTTAAAATCAGCTGACAACCCACACTGTTGCATTACTCCTACCCACTTTCAAATTGACTTGCCAACACAAATAATCCACTAGTTATCCATATAAAATTTGGTATCTAAAATATCTACTCATTTGTAAAGTGTTCGGACTGTAAAAAATTTTTTAATTTCTAAAATTTGTTAAATATATAAAAACCTATTCAAAATGTTTTGGTTTTAGCATTTAATCATGATCTTTTAATTACAGGTTATATTTCTCAAACAACTATATTAGAAACTGTATTCTGTATTTGTGTATTGCACAAATGAAATATATTGGATTTAAATTTTATTTAATTTTTAATTTAATGAATAGAATAAAGATTTGATTACCTTGCACTTCTAATGTAGCACTGGCATCCTCGGAATCCTCGAGATTTTCGGCCCTGCACATGTAGGTACCTTCGTCTCCTTCTCGAATGTTTTCTATTTGCAGACTTCCTATTCCTACTACTTGGAAACGACTATCTAAATGACTGAAAATAATACAGAATTAATAATGTAGGTGCCATACTTAAAATAAGAATGACAGTATTCAATTATTTATAGGAAGTCAATGAGTAAAATTTATTCATTTGGCACTTAAAGAAAAAATTGAATCTTTCAAAATACTGAATTTTATGAAATGTTACAAAGTGAATAATGATGCTGTGCTTTGTATTCGGAATTATTTTTAAAAATTACATATTGGAATTAATTATATATTTTATATAGAGATGAAGTCTGATTATACTGTTATGTTTGCAGTTGTAAAATTTTGTTATTGAAAAAGTTGAAAGCATGCTTGATGCCAAACATACATCTAAAATGTTTATTCACTCAAACATACGTTTCTGTTATTGTTATTTTGTATCTCTAACACATTCGTTTTAGAATACATTTTAACAAATGTCGAATATTGAACTTACGCCATATCAATTGTGATACCATCTTTTAGCCACAGAATTTTAGGTTTGGGATCACCATTAGCTGCACATTCTAATGTTACTGTATCATTTTCTTTTGCAATCATGTTCTTGGGTGTAACGATAAATTGAGGAGCCGATATCCTTTTTCTTTCTGCTGCAAATACATTAACGATTTGTTTGCATCTATTAAAATGATTAAATATTTAAAATACGGTAGGCCCTTGATTTAATGGATAAATTGGGGAAGGGATGTTCTACTGTTGCAAAGTCCATTAATTCAAATGTATTTTAAAAAGATATATTACTAACAAATTTGCAATGTATAAAATTTATTTAAATGATGTTTCTATGTTTAATTATAAATAAAATGTTATTATAATGTACAGTACTGTACATTGAGTAATTTATACTCATTTTTGCCTTTTGCATTCTCTATTTGGAAATTAGAATAATATTTCTAAATTTTTTCCTTTATGACAGAAATTTTTTGTCTATTAAATCAAGAGCCTACCATATATTAAATAAATCAATAATTAAAACTATGGAAATATTTAATCTCAAAATAAAATTATAAAACTTACCGTAATCTGCATTGACATTAAGAATACCCTGAGAACTGAGACGAAACTTCTCGATATTTGTCGCATTACACTGATATATTCCGGCATCGGATTTCTTAACAAAGTCAATTTCTAGCGCTCCGCTCGGCAGTACCATCATGCGAGAAGATTCTACGTTTAACGGATGTCCGTCCTTCAGCCACGTTATCGTAGCGGGAGGAATCCCTTGTATGGCACAAGGAAGATATGCGCTCTGATGCAAATGAACATTAATATCTTCTGGTTGTTCATCAAATCGGGGTAAAGCTAACAAAAATGTGAATTATTATATCTCAACTCAAAGTAAGACAAATTTTATATACGCTTTGGAAAAAAGATTTCTTATTTTCAAGTAATTTCCACTAATTATTTAATTAAATCATTTAAAATTAAGAAAAATTCTAATTTAACTTGTATCAAATTCATACGGTTAATGATACTTTAATTGAAAACTTTAATTAAGTTATCCGAAACTTACAAATGTAATAATTAATCAGTAAATTAGAAAATTCATTTACTCAAATATGTGTTATTAAATTAAACCTTAAAATTTTTATTAAGCATTAATAATAAATATCATAAAATTTATTGAAATTAAAAAAACTAATTTAAAAAAGACTCATTTTACAAATTATTTAATTTTATAATTGTGAAATCACAAAAAAATTAAATGAAATCTGTCCAATTCAATTAACGAAAACATTTACTGAATTTAAATTAATTAGATTTTTTTTCTTTTAATAACTTAAATTGAACTAAATTCAAAGAATTTATTTTTTAATCATCTTAGATACATAAAACTTACAAGAAATTTGTAATTTTGCGGATCTGCTGACTATTGTTCCGATATTTTCTATAGTAGCAATACACTGGTAAATGCCTTCGTCTGGTCTTTCCGACCTTGTATGATAAATGCGAGCAAAATGAAGTGAGCCATTTGGAAGAATTGATCTAAATGGAAACAAAATTAAATTTAAAAAATGTACATATATATGAATACAATTAAACCTATTGCTTTACTTAAATTTTCTTCTAAACTTCACTGACTACATCAATTCTTAGTATGATATTGTCCTGTGATTTGATAAAGGGAACCATTTATAAATAGGAGGACAAGTTGAGATTATGTCTGATCTAATTTATGATACTTTTATGCCTTTTAGATATCTACATGATGCATATAATCCACTTTACTTCCTATATAAACAAGAATAAAGCTTCCTTAATATCTTAAGGATGTTTTATCCCTTTAGTGGTTTATGTAAGATTGATCAGCTATTGTATGATTTTTATTAGTTACACAACATTATACAAAGAGTGTCAAAATGAATACTACAGAAAATTACTATTAATAAATAAGCATAATACAAAAAAAAAAGTTTAGACACGAGTAATTAATGCAGCAAATAACAAAAATAGGGAATACAATTCAGAAATCGGGTAAAGAAAGTATGAATAGAAAGGAAAAACGTCGGCAGCAGTTGTCATGTTACTTCGAAATAATTAGAGCAATCCTAGATGTCAAAACTTATGAACGTCAGAACACGAAAAGTGACATTAAATGAGATTTTTTTTCCATTTTTTACATTAGAAAAAAATCCATTTTAATATCATTTTTTATTTTATTTACTTCTTGACACTTTTCTGATTTTTTATTTGATGTGAGAGATTTCAAGACTTGCATTTACTTTTAAAATTGTGTTTATTTTTGAGTTTTTCAAAAACCAAATTATAAAATTGCTTTAGAAGAAAAAAAATTGACACCTTTGCTTACTTAAAATTATAATAATAGCACTGATAGTTTTATGCAGAGGCATCCTAAGCTTTCATTTGAGTCCTGCACTTTTAGAGGTCTCAAACACATACAAATACTGTACATGCTTGTTGATACTCAAGTCCTAGTCTTGAACTAGGAATTCAGTACTAGCTTGTAACCTACATCTTACATAATATCAAGTATTTGCAATAAGATTTACTCATTATATAATCATATATTAAATAGTTTGGAGTGTCCATGCTTGCCTAGGGCCTCTCACACCCAAAGTTGAATAATAGATATAATAATACTGAGTAACAGTATAATTTAAAACAAAAAACAAAGAGGTTAAATGCAAGAAAATAATTATTTTCATAAAAAATGGACAATGTTAAATGTCAGGATTTTGAACTTTCGACAATTAGATTAATTTATTTGATTACGACAATGCCGAGGAGGATGCCTCAATGCAAAATTTTTGGTTTTGATCAATTTGTTAAGTTAAATTACATCTAAAATTGGCTAAATTTATTAAGAAATGGCAAGATTAAGACCTTTTTCAAAGCAGAGACCATTTCTTTTGGCCTAATTGCCATATTTTTTACTTCGTGTAATGAAATAAGTAATACAGTATATAAAGTTTCATTGCTTTAATAATTGCTTAAACCACATAAACTTGCAACATACTTTTCAGTTTTGTTATGTTTTACTGATAAAAATGTTAAAATATGTTTCTTGTTCGGTCATAGTTATGGTCAGTTTGCCTTACTCTCCAACACCAGGGATTGAAGTTGTGATCAACTGTTTAGACCCAGAGTAAAATGAAAAGGAAAACAGCAACCTCCCTATGCTGTACTCAGTATCAATGGGGTCTAGGGTTTCTCAAACGGGATCCAGGTTATTTTTTAACCCAGGAAATATCCCGGAAAATCCAGCAAATTTCTTAAAAATACACTTTTTTCTTATTTTGTGTTAAAATCGAAGATATTTTGCAAATAGAAAGTATAATTATTAACCCATAAACTGTCAGAATACATTTGTATTTATTATTTTAAGCCTGCTTATTAGTTTTTTAAATTTTTGCTTATTATGGTACATTACAGATTGTCAATAATCAATATGTAGCTTATTTGTGACAAAACTCTGAAAATTCTTTACTTGTCAGAACCTGTAATATCTGGAATAATTGTGCTTATGCCGGTAGCTTCAATAACTGCGTAATGCCAGGTTGTGCAAATTGGGCATGGACGCAAACGAGTACGAAGTCTGCAAGTATGAAATTTTTCTTCATAAACCTGATTATTATAACCAAACAAACTGTCAAATTATTGGGCTGTAAGCTCGATGTTGCTATTAAAGCAGCCAAGGTAGACAAATCAACAATACTAGACGGCAAAAGAAATACTGTAACGCATCTCAAAAATGAACTAGAAATCTTACAGGCTACGGATGAAAAAACATATAACATCTGTCTTCTCTCAAATGCATTAAAGACGATTCCACCCACATGAATTGAATCGGAAAGGGCATTCTTGGTAGCAGGACTTTTCATTAGTTAAATAAGAACCAGATCGAGTGATTGAAGTATTGACCATCTCTGCTTTTTAAAATCTTATTATAAAAATTTACAATAATATTTTGTATTATGTTTTATTTAAATAACAAAAATTACCTTCTAACTTAGAAGTTTGATCTAAGTTCATTTTTTCTTTAAATTTTTAACTCAATTCAAAGGCATTTTTGTTGTATGCAGTTTCCAACAAACTTTAATAAACTTTTTCTATTTGTGAAAATTTCTATGTAACTCAAAAGTAATTTTTTATACATATTTTACACAGCATTATTATTATTATTATTTTAGAGATTGCAGGACATACTAAATTACTTAAAAATGAAAAGTAATTATATCATACTATTTTAAGATTTATTCTATATCTTAAAAATAATTAATTACAGTATATCCCGGGATTTCCCGGAATCCAGGAAAACAGTTCACTTTTATCCTGGAATCCCGGGACAAGCAAAAGACTGGGAAATGAGAAACCCTAATGGGGACACACCAGTGGCCGAGTGGATAAAACCACCGAACACTGGTAGTCAGTCTTGGGCTCGTGTCTGGCCATGTGGCATATCCCAGGTTTTCTTCCTTAGTAACACCTAAATATGGATCAGTTTCCCATAAAAGATCTCACAGGAGGCAATTTCCCCTCAGCAGATCATCCATGCGTCGCATCATCATACACCAATAAAAAAAAACTAAGCCAACAAGGGAAAAAAATGCAGCGTAACAAATATACCTCACTGAAGGACCTATCAAAATCAAAGTAGCAAAGACATCAACTAACGCCAAAATCAAGAGCATATCACACAGATTCCGCCTCACCTTCCAGTAGTGCCTGCAAGAGAGCCAACAATGGACCACCAATTCATTGCAAAGGGGACACGTTGGCAAGAAAACACAAACCTTCTTAACAAAGCTATTAAAATATGAATGTATAGTTTTAAAGAAACTTCAAAGCTGGTGTTAGGAGGAGAAGGCAATAAAAGGGCCTTTTATTCATTATCCATTGTGGGTTTGGCCAGGCCCACAATGGGAGTGATTGTGTGGTGGGGCGAGGCCGGGCATATCTCAGATGAAAAGTTACGGGATTGCACACACAAAATTACAATGACAAGATCAACTAATCATCTCCATCGATTGTCAACATCAAAAAAAGACCAATTGTAGACATTGGTTGTCGTCTTAATTTTGCCACTTATACGAACTGACCTTTAGAAGCACCCTTTACTACTTAAATTCTAAAAATAAATTTATTTATTTATTCAAAAATCAATTCTTAAAATTGAACTCAACTGGCAATTGAAATTTTTAATTTTATAATTTAAATTCGAGGCATAATGGAGTATTTTAAAAGCTGTTGCCATACAATCTTTATCATATAAGAAAAGAAAGGTGCTCGGAAAAGTCTCATAAATTCTCAACTCCAAACCTTTTATTGGTTTTCAAGTCGAGTTTTATTCTTCATATTTTAAAGGGGATTTAGAGTAGGATCGTAAAAAGTTTACGCTCTTGTAAGAAGTGTAACTCATCAAAATATATCACGGCCATCACATTTTTTTCAAAATTATTTTGTTCTTTGGTACTGATGGCATTTTAAATAGCCGACAATAATGCATATATATATGTAGGTTTAGTTACAAATCTTTATCATAAATCAAATTTAAACAATAGAAGGAATACAGAGTTTAGAAAAACAAAATATTTGCCAATTTTTACATACTGTGTGGATTCTAAATGAAATTTTATTGCTTTCAGAACAGATTTTTAACAAATAAATCTACTGGAAAATGAAAACTAAAACTAAAAAGTCATCTGCAACAAATTCTGGAAAAATGCAATGTAAGAATATTTGCATTTAAATCCGCAATTAGGCCCATCTGTGGTCGAGTGCGTAACACCGTTGAAAACACTAGTAGTTAGTTAGTAAGGGGGTTCACGCCTTACTAACTCCACATGGACTTTCCCAGGTTTTCTTCACGTATCTAACATCTTAGAGGTCATTTTCCTATAGAAAAATCTTCCGGGTGGCATTCCCCTCTGCAGATGACCCACGTGTTACATTGATTTATCCCATCAATCCAAGTCTGCAGCTGTTACTTTATCTAATTACTCACGAATATCTTTACCTAGTTTGATGAGGTAGCCAATATTTTGAGGTGGAGCGCATATATTTTAATTTAAATTAATTAAAAATATGATTAAAATTTGTAGTCCGGCACTGTGACCGTGTCACAATAAATAATTGCTCATTTAGACTTGTTTTTCTTTCGAATTTACATGTAAAATATACATATACACTTACTTTATAATTCATATACATATGCATCTTTTAATTCAATTAATGATTTTAATTGAAAATTAATACATATATTTTATCGTGAATAAACAAACTGTATCATTTGATTGTTAGAACGAGATCCATCATTCATTAATCTTTCACAAACCCATTTTAAATTTTACAATAAATCCTAAAGCCTACAGTTTATTGATAAAGTCTTTTGTTTCTGTTTTCATACCAAATCATTCATTTGCTTTTCAATTTGTTTGTTGTTTCGGCTTTATTTTTTATAGGTAAAGGAATAAATGTTGCATATAACCAATCAGAATCGGTTTCCTCTGACACGTGATCTATAT